TTTTTTAACAATGTGAGGTGGTAATAACAATTACAATTATAATTATATCTATGATATTCATTTGCAGTTAGCTGGTTTTTCCTATTGTAAAGTGGAGCCGCTGCATGCTAACTCAGTTACTGTGTGCAGGCAAGTGCGGGGAAACTGGGTTTTTAGGGAACTGCTGATTCATCTCAGTGCCACATTATTAGCAACCATGATATATGATTGCATTATCATTATTAGTTTTATTGGTATTCATTTTCATGAATTGAAGGGTAATATCCAAACTTGCTTTTACACAATCAAAACACTTTTTATCATCATGAATCTCATTGCCCTTTTCCATTTTGTCAGGTAATTTTGAACAAGCAAACGAGGAACTGAGGGCAATTATCAAGAAGATCTGGAAGCGCACCAGTATGAAGCTTCTGGACCAAGTCATCCCACCTATAGGAGGTCAGCTTTTATGATAAACTAAATGAACTTTAGTTTTCTCAAGGAAGCATTGGTCCGAATAAATTGTGCTAAGTGTTGTGCTAAGTGTTTCAGCAAAGTTAAAGCCTTTTGTAACATTTCCTCACCAACTTCATTCCAACATTGCCAGCAAAAGTTCTAAATTATGTGATCGTTTTTTTATTCATTCATTTATTTAACAGTGCACATTAATCAACATTTCTGTAAATGTGCCAGAGTTAGCCAAGAGGCTATTTTTCATCTGTAGTCCCTGGATAGATTTTGTAAGTCAACCTAAAGACAAGAGATCTGATCTCCACTAAGATAACCACAGCTGTGAATGTTTGTGTGGTGTCATGTGTTCACGTGTTACAAGCATATATTGGGCAAATATAAGTGCACATCATTCACTTTCAGTTGAAACACTTTCATTTTGAGATATCTTCATGGCCCCATGCATTCACAAATGTCTGTCTTGTAGCTTCTTTCCATTGACTTTAAATGTGCCATATGCTTCCTGTCTGGGGTGTTCACAAAGGGCCACTGTGGGATTCAAACGCTTTAAACTGAATGGATTTAATGGCATTTCCACAGTTTACATGGATTTTGTATTTGAGCAGATGATGAGGTGACAGTGGGAAAGTTCTACGCCACCTTCCTGATCCAGGATTATTTCAGGAAAATGAAGAAGAGACAGGAAGAGTACTATGGGTGCCAGCCCACCAAGAAAAGTGCTTCTTCTGGGATACAGGTTAGTAGTTAATGCCATGGGATGTCTAGTGAATGGTTTGATTATTCTTTGATAGATTTGTACTACACCTTTAATTCATGTAAATGCAATACACAACAGTGAGTAAGGATAATGGTACCAGCATGTGTATGTTTTCTTTGAGTGTGTAGGACATGAGTGTGAGTGTTCTTTGAGTGTGTAGGGCATGAGTGTGAGTGTTCTTTGAGTGTGTAGGACATGAGTGTGAGTGTTCTTTGAGTGTGTAGGACATGAGTGTGAGTGTTCTTTGAGTGTGTAGGACATGAGTGTGAGTGTTCTTTGAGTGTGTAGGACATGAGTGTGAGTGTTCTTTGAGTGTGTAGGACATGAGTGTGAGTGTTCTTTGAGTGTGTAGGACATGATTGTACTGTAAACATACTTACTGTTCATTAAATGTGCATATAAGTAATGTTCAAGTGTAACATTGCATGAGTTGCATGAGGATAGGACCATTTGAATAAACGTTCCCCTCCTTCCCCATTCACTGTGGACATGACCTCTCTCTGTAAGCTCTGTATGTGGACTATTCCTTTTTTGCCTTAACTTTTTTAAGGTCATCTTACATTTTGCCACTTTGCTATTGTTCTTTAAAAATAAAATAAATGGTATCTAACAGGAATATTATTTGGGTACTTTACTTAAAATAATTAATAGGATCTTTAGAAAAATATGATTTGTATTAACAGTGTGAATCTCAGCAGTCACATTGTACTCGCTTAAAGGTTCACCTTCTAATTGATGCACTTTTCTCCATATACTGAATATATTTGTAAGTTTCAAGGTTTGCTAAAATATACATCATGTTTGTGATGGTCCTAACAAAATGGTCTGGTTTTGAAATTATTTAAATTAATAATAAAAAGGCTCTAGGATTGCTCTTAGACAAAGAATCTGAACGATGGTAAACTAGGTGGTTATATCAGTTGATACCAGGGAGTCACTCAGCGTTGGAGCAGCAGTACTGAGCAGGGCCTACAGCTGCAGAGCGCACAGTGAGGGCAGCTTATGGATCTGTTGCCATGCTTACTGTAGTGCTTCCAGTTTTACTTCAAAAGTAAAACAAATATCAGGCAGGCCTTCTGTGTATGTCCCCGAGCTCCCCTCCCCTCAAAGGCCCCTCAGTCAGACGGGTAGGTGCCATCTTTAAAGGATAAGCAAAGGTAAAAAGACTGAAAAGTCAAAGTAGAATCCACATGATGCTAAACAACTAAAATAAATATAAAGAAGAAGAGGGCATGTTTTATTTAACAGGGAATTTCAGGACCTAGTTTGGTCCTCTGCTCAAGACCCGCCCGCACTGCCACCCTGCAGATGATGGTCTGCACACACCCATTGGCTGGAATGACTTTGGTGGTAGTTTTCTTCAATGCATATGTTTCTTTGTGTCCACCAGGCAGGGTTGAGGAACATAGAGGAGGAGGCGGCTCCAGAGCTCCATCGGGCCATCTCTGGAGACCTTGTGACTGAAGAGGAGATGGAGGGGGCTGCTGACGAAGAGGGCATCTTCAGGGTAACAGGACAGGATGAAGGGATGACAGAACGAAGGATCAGCCTTCCCTGTCTTCACTCACAGTAATCTAAGAGATCTGATATGATACAGACTTTTAAAGTATGCTCCCTTACAGAATTCAACATCACTCCACCCGACTGACATTTCATTCCGACTCAATGTTTGATTTGAAAATCAAACACAAATCTTATGATAATAAATAGAGCCTCTTACACCACAAAACCAGGCCAGCCGTTAAAGGAAGACCTACAGATCTTTAACCCTTAACCCGACCTAACAACAATTATAAATGCAAAATGTATTGTTTTAATCTATAATTCATTCACGTTTTTGCAGCTTTAGTTGGGTGACCAAGAGTAAGTCCTTGCAAATAAATACACAGGGGCATAATGCAAATATAAATGTTGCTGTCATCTGTAAATACTGAAAGGTCAAATGTTTTTGTGTTCATTTGTATTGACATCATTTGACATATGTGTTAATTAAGAATATAGGCCACAATAACTGTGCTCTCTTCTCTAAAACAGAGACATGGAAGTCTTTTTGGAACCTCAGACCCTTTCTCTGCAGAGAGTGAGGCAGCCAATGGCAGCCAGGCCACCAGCCAGCGGCCCCTGCAGAGGGCAGGGGTCAACAACAGTTTGAACATCACCAACGGCAACACAAGTCCCAGGTCTGCGTGCTCACACTTATGTTTTGGCTGGATCCTTAACTGTAGTGCATTATAAGCACATGGCTTTGTACTGCTCTGGAGAGACAACACAGCACAGTATTGGTGTTGTTACTAATGAACACAACACAACTTTGAACAGGATTTCACTCGCTGCTTCGCTGTGTTACAAAACATTTTAACTGAAGGGATTTTACATATATATTAAATATATGTCAACAATCTCTGTGTGGGCACAATGTGACTGCTCCTCTTTTAACTGCAAACACTCACTAAACCTCTAATGTCTGTTCATAACAGCAAAGTAAAATAAACATATTTACAAGATAAAGGAGTGAAGAAAAAGATGGAAAAACACCCAACCGCTTTGCAAGAAAAGTCTAGGATGGGAGAGGATGGAAAAAGGAAGGAAGAAAAGCTTTATAGTAATAGAGTACATTTACTGTGTGCCTTCCTCTCTGCAGTCACGTACTCCTTGTGAGGATTGTGTTGACCACTGCCTGAAACTCACTGCAACATTCTGATCATCTGCACCATCATTCTTCATGTCCTGTGACCTAGTATTATAATAAAAGATATGTGGTATAACAATTGATGACACATTTGTTATTAGGTAAATAGTAAGGCCCTGTGTTGAAATCGATGAGCATTAGTAACCTGGTTGTAGCTAAATGAGACATTAGTTATTACTCCCAAAAGAAACGGTATTGTCCCAGATGTTTAAAACAATGTGCACAACATCACTGACTCACACCCTGTTGGAGGCCATGCTGTGTCATACTGTCTCTCTTCCTAATGTGTTGCGCTGTTCACACACAATGAGCACTGTCAGTTATATACATATATAGTGTTAATGTATTATCATCATGTAATCGTTATTTTATGTGAGATTCTCATATTCTGAGATGATTTGACTGTTAAATAGTTTTCCCTGTCTTTTTTCAGCCTTTATTAACATTAGATTAAAGATTTGATCCTTGATCTTGGTCTGAGCGCTTCAGAGCCGTGGAGGAGGAGCTTCTCACCGGATGCAAAGGAGTGATGCAAGGAGCTGCTAGGCTTAGAACCAAGAAAGCTCCAGAGCTGACCGTTACCTTGTCATGCCGCACAACCCCGCCTGTTACAGAAAAAGCGTTCCTTGTCTTTTGGAAATCACCAGCATGGTGTAACTGCAAACACAACATTCACATATCACTTACACACTTCCAGCCATACACATCGTGCACAGGATCCCTCTCCTGCAGGAAGTATCAGTTCTAACCTTTTGTGTGCAAAATAGCAATAAAGAATTGAACAGTACATAACTGTATCTATTGTTTCACTGTATCTTGTGGTGTTCACTTTGGAGTGTTCTAATCGTTGTAATGTTCTTACTGACATACACATCACATCAAGTCGTCTAACATCTATCCCGTATCTCAACAGTTGCATGCCTTGAGCCCTGGTTCACTGTTACTATAGAGCACTTCCTGTTTTAATCACACACCCACCAGCCCCATATGGAATCTGCAGTGCAAAACCCAGAAAAATATTCATCCAAAAATGTCAATACAATGGAACAAAGTAGAAAAAACCATGAACATTATTTTTTAATATTTATAATTATTTATGTTATTTCTCACTATCACAGTATTTCAACAGCGTGACAGATTCCCATTAACATGGGTCTTGTATTGCTGGAACACTAACACTTGCGTCTATCTTTGAAAATACAGGCGTTTTGTGTGTGTTGAAAAGTTGGTACACAGAATAAAATATATCCTAGAACATTCACTTACCACTGACATAACAAATAAAGGTATTTCTGAGTAACCGGACATTTTCCAACCCCATGACAGTATCTATAACCTCCATCCCTCCTCAGAGCCTCCTGGCCTCTCCAGGCTCTTTCTTTGGTTTCTGGCAGCTCTCAGTGGCTCCCTACAGGCAGGCGGGGCAGGCAGACGTAGGCCTGGGGAAATAGCTGGATGTTTAGGGGGTTGCCGTCCAGGCGGATATCCTCCAGGTTACGGCGGATGAAGTGGCGATCATGGCTGTTACAGAAGGAGTCCTCGTACAGAGTCTGGATGTTGTTATTCTGATTGGGGCACATGAAAGATACAGTTTATGTTTTAAAACCGAGAGTGTTAGCGTTCATCATTTGTGAAGGGTCTGCATTGAAGCTACATCATTCCCTAAAAAAATAAGAAACTATGGTTTGAGTTAAATGAAGTAAGTCTGCATAAGTTAGATTGCTGTCACAAAGTATTTTTCTAAAGAAAGTGCAAAGCAGATAATGCTATGCAAGTGATGCACTATCTTGATCAACAAATACAGATCATGTAAGTTACGGTGCTCATTCAGCATTTTCCATCTTATGCCCTATCTTGATAAAGTGCTTTTATATTTCGAACTTTCCATTTTTTTAATTTAAAATCTTTGTAGTGTTGTGTAGTGCGTACAGAGAGGAGGTCAGAACCCTGACATCTTGGTGCCAGGATAACAACCTCCATCTCAACATCAGCAAAACAAAGGAGCTGATTGTGGATTACAGGAAGCAGCAGGGAGAGGGACACGCCCCCATCACCATCAATGGGACTACGGTGGAGAGAGTCAGCAGCTTCAGGTTCCTCGGGGTCCACATCACTGAGGACCTGACATGGTCTCTTCACACCAACACCATCACCAAAACAGCTCGAGATATTATATTGCATTGTTGTCATATCATATATCATGTAGTTGTGTATATGAACCTTTTGAATTTGTTCTTGGCTTAGTCAACATGTTTTCTTTATAAAACACTTTCCTCTTTATGTGGCAATCTATTGTCTCAGTTTAATGGTTACTAGTTCTTTTGTTTGGATTTGGATTCCCATTTGGAATTGTTTTGTTTTGTTTTGTGTTGTTGTTGTTTACTTATTCAGTTGTGTGACGTGGAAAATTAGGTATGACCTACTGAATAAAGCAACGATCAATAAAACAGGTTAATGACAGAACGAACAAGAGGCCATTCCTTTTTTTAACAGCAACAGACCCCAGCTCTGTGTCACTATTGTTTCCCAGAAATGTGTTGGTCTAACAGTGTGATTGCAGAGCCATGTTGAGTTATCCTGGCATTTTGTAGCCAGGCTAGTTGTTGGTGAACTGGCAGTTTCTTTTTTTATCCATACTGTAAGTAATCTAGTTATTAATCACATCAATATTGAATTTACCGAAACCCAATTTCCCCCCGGGATAAATAAACTATTCACATTCTGATTCTTAATTTCCCTTTGAAGGCAACAAAGAAAAAGAGGCATGACATGAATGTGCACCTGCAGGTGTAAAACTCTCAGACCCAGTGGTAGTGGTACAGGAATGTAATCCAGTTTATTGTCAGACAGATAGAGGAACTCCAGCTGGCTCATGTCCTGCAGGAAAAAGAAACACACAAAGGTCTCACAAGAGGGAGCAACACGCCCACGTGATATTGACTGACTACAATTCCTTGAATTGACCAAGTAGTGTCTTAACATGTTCCCTGTTTCCCAACATTTTATTATTGTTTCATTAAAAAGCCTGGCAGCCGGCCTGTGGAGGAAGCAGCTGGAACCCAACATAATAATCAGAGACTGCTGGAACACAGATCCACATCAATCTCCATATACCTCCATGTATTGGGATTCACTGCAAGATAACACTTCATTGCATGCTTTAGACATAGATGTAGAAAGTTGTAATGTTACGTTGCGACTGATCTGATTATAACCGCGGTGTGTTACACCTCTCTTATACGCCACGCAGGAACGAGGAGGCAATACATTAAGAATAGAAACAGGTCTACAGTATCTTCCTTTGTGGATGCAGCTGTTGACTTGAACAACCAAAAATACAGAATTATACATGCTACATTACCAATTACAGATTTTTCTCTTTTGGTTATTTTCTAAATATATGCTTTTTAATTCCTTTTAAACTCATCAGGGGCCTCACTTATAATGTTCAAGAGATGGCATACGGCAATTTCTAAGCAACGTTTTTAATTTATAAAATGCAAAATTGATCCAGATCCACAAAACAGTGGTACTAATACAACAAATAAACTAATCTTCATGTGTAAAATAGGATTTTTTAAAAATGTATATGATATTTACCTTGAATCCCTCAGAATGTACCCCATTACTGATCAGCCTGTTGTTGCGTAGATCGATGTATTTCATGGTGATTGGCAGCTCAGGCATGCTCTGCAGGTTGTTATCAGCCAGCAGCAACTGGTGAAGCTGCGGCAGAGACAGAAACACATCCTCATCCATCCCTGAAATCTGGTTCCCTGTCAGATCAATGGACTGGAGTTGATCTATATAAAAAACAAAAAAATATCTTCAATCATACATCATTTATCTTAGAGTGTATGGTGGTTCAAATAATCAAAGTGATTCCTTACTGAGGTAGTTAAAGTCTGTGTTCTTGACATGTCGAATGTTGTTGAAGCGGCCATAAAAATGGGTGGTGTCTTTAGGAAGGAGTGGGATCTGATCCAGGCCTGTGTCATCACAGTACACACTCCCACCAATACACACACACAGCAAGCAGGTGGGCATACCTGCACATACAGAGTTTAGATTGTAATACCTGTGCACACACATCTAAACATATGCAGAAACACAACACAGCTCACACATTAATACTTGTATTTATTCTAACCTGTAGCTGAACACACAGTTGATGCTTTAACCTACCAAGGCCAGTATCAGGGCCAAAGAGACCCGGTCCCTTGAAGTCCAGAGTGACGGGAGCTGGGGGCAGGGTCAGCTCCTCCTCATGGTACTCAACTGTGGGCAAGCTTGCTGCAGAGGGGGGGTCTGGAGCTACGGTGCCCACCTCAATCTGTTCTCCATGGGCAGCAAGGAAGAGAGAGACCGTTTAAATACATTTTCATTTGAATGGTACAAATATATTTTAATCTATTTTTGTATTTGTTTTATTATTTTAAGTACCATTGTTTGGGGGATCAAATAACAGACATATAATATAATACTGATAACTAGTTTTCATTAGTGTAAAATTACAAAATAATGTTCAATTGAAAATAAGAATATTGTATTGCCATTAGCTTAGAATGAGCCCTTCTGCCACCGAGTCAGACATTGATGGAGTGCTCTGCCATCCGTCATTAGGCAAGAATTGCAAACCAAACTCTGGCTCTAAATACTGCACTTAATCCTACACACTGGAAACTCAGACTGGATATTAAAGCTTTCTGTGTCTAAGCTTTTTTTAATTAATATTCCAATTGAAATATTATCAGGATTATTGGATCGTATTATTGTTTGCAGAGATGAAATAAAAAAACACTGAAAGACAAGATAATTATTTATAATTATCGAGCCTTGCTATCTTCAGATTCAGACTTTGGCAATATTTTTGGAATTCATGAGCCGATAGCTAATAATACGGAGGAGCTTAGCTCCACATGCACTGCTGCTATTGACACTGTGGCTGCATTAAAAACCAGCTAACCTGAAACTAAATCTGAGCCCTGGCTGGATGACACGACTTGTGATGTGATAAATGGAAAAAGGACAAACTGCTGGTCTCATTTCAAATGTTGGGGAGTGTTGGCGTCAATCAAAGAGGCAAAAAGACATCTGACATCATTCGGTCAAACCGTCACAAGCCTCGCGTTCTGTTTCAGACTATCAATCTAGTTCCTAATGCCCCTTAGCCAGTTAAGCCCCAAGCCTGTTTTTCAGGTCTCAGGCTCGAAAATAACATATCTTCACTTCTAAAAGGGGTCAATTAATAATCTTTTTTCTCAAAGCAATGATAAACCTGTGAGTTGGATGTAGAAAAGTCAGAATCAATATAGAATTTTTTTATTTTAAAGTAAATTCAGTTTGAACATAGTAAAACATTTTTAATTATAGTGTCCGTCCAAAAAAAAAACATTACTTATAGTGAAAACCACCCTTGAATGATGGGATAGTAGACTAAAAGCTTAAGGAATCCAAACTATAACATATAATAAGTACCCTGTATCAAGATTGACGCAAAACAAGTGAAATTTGACCTTTTTAGAGAGGTTTAGAAAACAAAAAACACTTCTCAGGTCATTTGGGTGGATTTTTCATATCTCTGGAACCCATCGGTCGATTTTGATGATTGACACCTGTTTTGAACCGTTAGAGCCAATAGAATCGAGGGGAAGTTCCTAAAATCCATCTAACCATTACCCATTGGTGAATGAGTGACTTGCAGCCATAATGCCCTAAACCGGAAGCTGGGTTGTAGCTCTCATAGCTCTCATAGCAGCTTGATATGAAATCTCCGTTTTTGACATAAATCTTATGATGGATTATCAGTAATCATTTCAAAGTGACACAGACAAATTGGATTAACCTTCAGCAGCGTTTTTATCGTTTTAATGCCATTGAACACAACTTTTGATGAGAAAACAGCAAAAGTAAGACGTTTTTGCCGTTTTGGCTCCGTAAAGCTAAGTGGTGTGTTGTCTGGATTTGCCTTAGCTGCGGTGAGTTTTGGTCGCACAGTGATGATACTTATACCTCTGGAATCTGTGGAATCTCAACTTTCATATGATATCTTGTTTGTGCAGGTCCGATAAGTAATACAATATTTCTACCGTGAGTTCTGTGCTAAGTGCGTTAGCATATTTTAGCTTAGTGCTAATTCCGAGGCTTGGTATTACCCTTGTGTTTCGTTTAGCGAAAAATTGTTAATATTGTCTGATAGCTGAGTTTCTTCCCGTTAAGTGGGTATGACGCATTCATAACATAAATGTTAAGAAGCCCTCAGCTCAGACGCTGTTTCATGCAAGATGTTGCGTTTTGTCCCCGGTACCGGGGGCATGGGGCTTCACTGGCCCCTTAGTCTTCCTGTATGGAGACCTACCCGAGGTGTGTGAGGTAACTTCCACTAGGGCTCAAATCACTGCTACTGCAAATGTGTGCCCCTCGCCTTGCTGTCTTTGACCGTTTTGAGCCTATGACTCTGTGGAAGCATTCAACCGGGTTCAGGGGAACTATCTGTTTTGTGTTTTGGACAAATGTGGGTTTGGACCAAACGTTGCTTTGTCGATTAAACTACTACTTTTAAATCAGCAGGGCTGCCCCCTGAGCCCCATGCTCTTTGATCTAGCCATCGACGTGTAGATCATGACCATTTGGATTCCCTTATTACCAGTGTTGGGCAAGTTACTTCCAAAATGTAATATATTACATATGACTTATTACTGTCTTTTTAAAGTAATAAGTTACATTACAATATTACTGTCTCTGAAATGTAATGAGTTACACTACTTTTATATTACTTTTGAGTTACTTTACCAAAATACCGCAAAAGAATGGCTAGGTATTTTAAATGCTAAAATGTAGTTCAGTGCAGCTCATTATACATCCAGTGAAGGGCGATGTGGTATAGCATAACAACTGTGTAGGCCATTAAGGCTAGTAACAACTTGTATTACACGGCTTAGTTGAATACTCGATTCTGATTGTAAATTCTTAACATGTACACGTTGTTAATACAGTAGTACAGACCACTGTCAAGGACTATAATGAAGGTTGCTAAGGAGGATCAAGAAAGAGAAAGGAAAAGAGGTTAAAAGACGGAGAGCTGGATGTCAGATAAATCACCAGAAGAAGGCAGAGAGGAAGTAAACAATAACAGGAACACGGAATGGGCTCTGTTGTTTGTTTAGTATATGGCCATGTACGGTTCCAGAACAAAATGACTTGGGGTGCATCTGAGATTACAGGGGGTGCAGCAGTAGTAGGTTTACATGAGCAATAGTGGTCGGCAACAGCAATGAAAAATAGCATTGATGTTATGGTCCCCAATGAACAGATTATGGCATTTGTTATGTTTTGAAACCAAGCAAGTGAGAACATTTCAAGTGTGTTAAAAGTGCAATCCTGAGATATTTCATATAGTCCAAAGTGGACTATGGCAAGGAAAAGCACAAAAGCTTCAAAACTGTACAGATAAAACAAATGAGAACATATTTTAAATCAAGGCAAATATGATTTGAACCAGCTCATGGTTTGAAATGGCAAACATTGAAAAGCAAAAGTATTATTAAAACCAGGTACTTCATCATCACCTTGGTCCCATCATATACTCTGGGAAGAGAATATTCACTGTGCTTGAAAACTGGTATCACATCATCATGTGAGGTTGACTTTGTGACCTGGAGAACATTTCAGATGCAACATTAGCTTGTTGATAAGCTTGGGATATGAGATCTTTTTGTAGCCATTCGTGGTGAAGGCATCTGTGCTATTGTATATGCATTATTTTTGACCCAACATTTCTACAGGCATGGCAGAATATGGCACTATTTTTACATGAATATTCTAGCCATTGTCTATTTTTATACCACGAGCTGACCGCCTTACCCCACTGTACAGGCGGGTACTTGTTTAATATACCTGGGCAGGCTCTGTTTTGCCGTGGTATCCTGGCACCTGCGGGCCGCAGAGGGGCGGTGCAGTTTCGGGCGACGAAGACTGCTGCTCCGGGGGCGAGGGCGGCGAGTCAGGCGGGAGTGCTAGTGTCCACAACGGACAACGTGATGTCCCCATCTGACCTGTTGCTACTGTCTGCAGTAGATGCAGTGGTGCTGGCGTTTAGTGATGGTTGCTTTAACCATTTTCGTATAAATGATTATCCACAGATGTGTGTCACTGCTGTGGAAGCACTTTGGAAATGATGCACACGCAGCGGAGCAGGTCAAGCGCACCTGACACAATTTGTTGTTTGTATTTTTCGCTCCGTTCTCTTTTTTGAATAGAGGGTGCATAACATTCAACTGGGGGTGCAATGCATGCCTATGCACCCCCGAAGATCCCGACGCGAAGCCTGAAGGGTAAACACCAGGTTTACTAATCTACCCGCACAATTTTTCTCTGGTGTCGGAATGTCTCGCTATGTTAACTTAGTACATTCTTAAAAAACAAAACACCATTTAATTTCGGGTTAAAATGTGTTGTAACTGCTTTACTGAGCATTGTAACGGGTAATATATTACCCAAATGTCATTAGTAATGCGTTACATTACTTCGTTACAGCAAAAAGTAATATATTACTGTAACTCCGTTACTTTTGTAACGCGCTACACCCAACACTGCTTATTACTTCATATATATGGGTAATCTCAACAAGGCCCATCTGCAAAAAGGCAAGGCTAATGGGGTATGGCTCTTCCCAACTTCACAGGAGTTGCACTCAGAGGATATATTGCACTGCTTGGATCAAAACTTCCACTACCCTCCATCAAATCTATCAGAAACCCAGTGGTGAAACATTGGGATACATTTAGGAAGTACTTCGGCCTTTCTGACTTTTCTCTTCTGAGTCCCATCATACAAAATCATTTATTCAAACCATTCATTTTGAATAGTGGCTTTCAAGAATGGTTCAGGAAAGGAAGTCATCGTTTCAAGGATATTGTCATAGATAAAACTCTGGCATCATTCAAGCAAAAATCCAATCTCCCTAAGTCTGATTGTTTTAGATATCTAAAAGCAAGGCATTAATGCTCTCTAAATTACCCAGCCCTTCTATATCTACCGATGCAACCATTGTTGATACTGTCCTCTACTTAAACCCATCCCAGAAAAGGCTTATTTCAGCCCTCTAAAATAAGGTGGATGAACTGGAACCAAACCTTCTAAACCTCCCTATTTAGTGTTATATGAATGGAAATACAAATAACTGCAGAAGGATGGCAGTAGATCTCTGTCCTTTGCTCTCCTACTTGCTCGTTGAGCAATCCTGCTGAAGTGGAGGGACAGTGTCTTCCTACTAATTTACAGTGGTTAACAGACATAATGTCTAAGGGCGCCGGCTGCTGGTGTGAAGGGAGTGGCTCGGCCGGATAATCAGTCACTGAATAAAAGCATGTGGTAACCTGGTTCTGGTCTGTTTGCAGTAGGCGGGATCCTGGAAGGTCGCCAAAGGACCTGTGAAGGATCCCACACGGGCAACGTTTTGCAACCCGTGTTGTACACTTTGTTTTGGTGCTAATAAACGCCTGTGTTCAACCCAAACCCTGCTCTTTCCGTCCCTCTTTGAACCCTGTGTGAGCGGAGAGGCTCACACTCATCTATATTCAAACAGGACTTTTCAGGAAGCCTTGGACTCCCTTTTGCCTTCAGAACTGTCTTGTAAACATCTAATTTAATATGAATAAAACACTTTAAACACACCACCCGGCCACATCTGGTTACAATCAGCCCTGAGGACGTATAACTGGATGTGGATATCGAGTACACCATTGCACTTTATATGCTGCTGCTAATTGGCCGTCTTTGTCTGCTCGCAGACTTTCCCATTGGTTGGGTTTTATTTATAAATCTCTGCTTGGGTTGGTTCCCTCCTACATTTGCACATTATGTGTCAAAGAGAAAGTCTATATGGCCTGCGCTCCCAAGATTTGATTCAGATGCTGGTTCCTACAGTGAGAACAAAACTGGGTAAAACAGCTTTTAAATATGCTGCCCCCACAGCTTGGAACAGAAGGAGCTGAAACTCTCAGATGTAATCACTATGGGGGAATTCAGGTCCATCTTAAAGGACAGAGAACATGACACCATTGGTAGATGTGAGTGCTCGTATATCCTAAAATCGTTTTAAAATGTTGCCAGATTTTAATGATTTTTAATAGTTTGTTTTATTTCGCATATTGACTGGCTAATGTGCCATTTTATTTGTTTTTTACAGCTGTATTTGTCTGCCTGTCTTGTCTGTGTTTTATCTGTTGTAACTTCGTTCATGCTGCCCTTCTTGGCCAGGTCACTCTTGGAAAAGAGATTTTAATCTCAATGAGTCTTTTTACCTGGTTAAATAAAGGATATATATATAACCGTTATGTCGCCTTACAGATTATCCCATTACAACAGCCACAAATAACTCAATACTGCTCATATTATTAAAGGCAACTTGCATTCTCAGCATTTTGATCAGCTCCTTTCTCTTCTCATTTGACAGATGGACAATGAGCACAATGTTTGGCGAAAGCATTGGAATTTGAAAGTACTTGTTCTCCTCACTACTCATTGTATAGATTTATAACATATTGATTATATTTCATCCGCTCCTCACCTCTTGGTCCAAGTCATCATAATCATAACTGTCTCCGTAGATGTTGACGTCTAGGTTCTCCCAGTCCATCTCACTGTTCAGGCTGTAGTTTTCAAGGTCAAAAGCTTCATCATCTGTCACACCTGTAGGGGCTGCCATGTTAGGGGAGGGGCCCATGAAGACCACGGCCAAGACAAGTGCCATCATCAGAGACATCCTGAGTTCAAACAAGGGGGCTACCTGCTGTAATCAAAAGAGAATAGTGAAGGGTTTAATAAAATGCAAACTGTTCAGTAAACAAAAGATTAAATAAATATGGAAACTTAAACCTGTCCCAGAAAAGGCTCTAAAATAAGATGCTTGATTCAATTCAAGTGATACATAAAGCTCATATTTCAAAAGTCAAACTATCTGTCATGTATCCTGAAGTCAATCCTTATTGTTGGAACCCAAGGAACAAAAACTTGGAAAAAGTGATGTTTATTACTTCAAGACTGGACATTTGAATGTATACATTTTAAAGATAATAGAAGAAAAGATTGAAAATAGATAGAGGGAATAAACAATAAGCATTACATTTCATTTAGCTGACGCTTTTATCAAAAGCGACTTACAACTACTATCTGTCTATTCTGTGGGTACCACAGATGGGCAGACGTTACAGAGAGCACAGCAAACTGTTACCATCTTATCAAGGGGTATAGGCTTCTTGAGTGGCTGCTTGGCAAGGAGACAGCGGGATGATGTTCTGAAGGATTGTGTCTTTGTTCCTGAACTTCTTTATCCTCTGAGGATGAAGTTGCTCTGTTCCTGCATTTGAGATCAATTTCAATTGTATTTAACTTTCTTTATTACTTTTAAAAATATAACAAAGGACAAATGTGACATCAATCACCTTAGGTTAATAGAAAAAGGTTTTCTCAGTTCTCTTCTGATCTCAGTCACAAAACGGCCCTGTAAATATTAAAGTAAGACAATAATGGTAAAGTGTGTGACAAATGGAGTACCAGTACCTGATTGGTCAGGAGCTGGGGAGGAGCGTGCTGTTTATGTGATAAAAGCGTTCTAAACATTTTAAATGCTGTGCCTCTTTTATCTCAACGCTCGGATTCTATGATCCCCATAGGGGAACTCTCTCCTTCGGCAACCCTGTCTCCTAAAAAATACGTTCCCACAGAACTAAACTGCATTCTCAATTACGTTTAGCTAGAAACATATTTTCTCCCACGTTACGTTTGTTATGAACGTATCTTAAATACGTTTATTTTCTACATATCTTCTAGAAACATATTTTCTCCCACGTTACGTTTGTTATGAACGTATCTTAAATACGTTTATTTTCTACATATCTTTGCCATTTATTGTCTTGCTTATAATAATGATAATAGTCATTTATAAATATCATTTTAGAGCACACATTTGAAATCGACGATCGGGCTCGATATATGGTTAAATTAAAATCAGTAGGCGAGGCTGTAATTTCGCCAGCTGTTACTCTAACGTAAATTACATGCCAGTGTTTTATCTTTTTATTTAGCGATTTGTTTCTGTTGTTTAACTGGGAATGTTTTCATGTTCGCTGATTGGATGTTTTAGCCGCAATGCACGTTGGGATGTGGTGTTAATGCGATATGATATCCGAAAAAAATTCAGAGCTTAGGATGGCCGAAGACACTACACTACCCATAATCCCCAGCTATCGTTTGGGACTATAGTCCCGTTGACAGACCCCGTAATTAATCTTCAAGCTCTGGGATTGGATGTTGGAGTGGCAGTGCGCCAAGGTTACGCCGAGCGTCAAGCTCTTTGAAATGGAACGAAACCACGGCAGACTAACCAAAACTGGACTCGAACGCCCCCCCAGAACTACACATGCTGGCTATTGTGTTTCGCAACATGTTCTATGGCACGTCTCTACTGGGAATTGTAGTTTTAAAAGACGTTTTCGTTTTTCCCAAAATTAGAAGTTGACAGTATTAAACTGTGTACAGCCCTGGAGGTTTAGGAAACAAATGGGTGTGTACAAATGTAAAACATGTAATTACTAAATGGGTGAAAATCGCTTGTGTCCATAATGGGCAACATTAATATATACCCACATGACAGCTCATTGTTACTTTGCAATTCTACTTAACCTGGTATTTTTACTCCACTACATTTATTTGAGTTACTTTGCAGATTCTGATTAATGATGTGAAATATAAACAACCCTTAAATCAGACTTTAGTTACACCTGAGTAAAATTCAGGGAAAGGTGATTGTCAAGTGCCAACAATCAGGAGATATATTTGATAGTTGCTGCTTGAGAAGACTAAACATTTATCTGCAGATCCCTATAAAGTATATTCATTACTCGTTATTCTCTACTAATAGTTAATTAAAAACTGTATATAATGGCTATTTTGCATGTTACATCGTTTCAGATGTTATGTTTCAGTTGTGCTCTTGATAAGCCATTCAAACAGTAAAAACACGTTCAGTTTCCTTTTGCTTTTTGTGTCTCCTCTACACCAAAACATACCCATCTGTGATGGAAAAAGAAAGTAATCCAAAAGTAATCTAAAAGTAATCTGATTACGTTACTTTTTTAAGACACGTAACTGTAACTGTATTCGGATTACTTTCAGAGCCATGTAATCAGTAATCAGTAACTGATTACATTTACAAAGTAACCCTCCCAACCCTGACTATACACAACTACGGTGTAGTTATGCAATGAATGAACAACTTGGGTCGCAGGTTCCTCAACAGTGCATTACAAGACATCTATCAATATGTGTGTATACCTCCACCATTAAACTGTCAAATTCTGCACATGTCTTATACTATCTACATACATAAGAGTATAATTAATATATATATAATATCAGTTAAAATAAGTGCTTCAACACAGTTAACATAGCAGGAAAGCAATATATTAGACGTTAAGTACTTTGTCAGGCTTAATATGTATGTGTAGATAGATACCCCAAAGCTTTTTTCTTAGTTGAAAGAAGACCTTAACCTAAAGTATTCTTTAATGTGTTAATAAAGGTTAATTAGTTTGTCTGTTTTACACATCCTCATATTAATATCTTTGGACATCCGGTACTAAACTGTTTTATTGTAGAGATCACTTACAGTATCTTCTTGATTTTTTATATTCTATATTTCTATCATTGACCTTCTACTTTCCCCCTATGAAAGTATGTACTCTTAATATTTTTTTCATCAAATAACATTATTCAACAAAAATAACATTATTCAACAAAAATAATTCAATAACGTGCTTTAACCACTAGGCGGTGCACACAAGGTACACACAGCATACTAATAATAACTTTGTATTATTAGTGTAGGACACTTATGTATGTATAACATCTGAAGATGTGTAGTTTTATTCATGGTTTTACATAATTTTACAGCATATTGCTATATTATTTCTCATGTTTTACTTCTACACATTAATATCTGATTTGTAAAACATCACAGACAGAAAGGTATATCCGTCATTTAATGGTAAGCTATTGAAATTGTGATTCCATAGATGTGTCTCCCATCACCCAAAACCCCTGACTATTCTCTCAACTCAGTATTTACATTCTTATATTCAAAGAAAATCAGTAATATCTTTAAAAACTACAAGTCCTTTTCTATCAGCTGTGCACCGTTATGGTGTAAATTTAACCTATCTACCAATTGGATCAAATATAAAAGTCAGCCGAATTAGTATTGATACTGCAAGGAGACGTATTGTGTGAAAAGAAATGTAAGATGTTGTTTAATTGATGATATATTTATGATCCACGTCACGTATTCAGTTTCGGCGGCTGTTCTTCCAGTTTGTCCAGAAGTCTTCTCATCAGGGCTCTATAAATAAATAACTACGGCAGATATGTAATATTTAATGCAGCCGAACCGTGTATTACAATGCCGTTATGTGATGACTTCCAAAGAGAAAAGCAAGAACACTCGGAATAAAGTATTATTTTATTTTTTTTATATGTTTTCGGATTTCACATCGCATAAACACCAAATCCCAGCGTGCATTGCGGCTAAACCATCCAATCACCGAGCTGAGGATCTTTCCTACGTCTGTTTCCGGTATTGTTCCTGTAATGAGAGTTCACATTTATGCTACATTGAAGGGTGGACTTGACTACACATCTTCAGAAACATAATTTGCTACAGATATAACTCATAGCAATATTGTAACCATTAAGAAAAGCCAACTGCATTAAAAACCCAGTTAACAAACACTAGGTAAAGTATTTTCCTTCAGTAATGAAGATGTATTTCCACCTGGGGTCGCTGTTCAGTCTGTTACGCTGAGCCATGCATTAGGGCTGTCCCGAATACCAATTTTCGGGCTCCGGATATTCGGTAGTAATCAGCAGCGAATATTCGAATATTCGGCCCGCGCGGGGGGGGGGGGGGGGGGCGTAGTAATCAGCAGCGAACCGCTTCAACACGTGTATTTCGGTGTATGCACGGCATTCATTTTGTTATTCTACAGTATTGTTGTTTTATAGTTATTTGTTAATGTAACCCAATTTGTGTTCTTTGAAATTGAAAAGGATATCGCATTGTGTTTGTTACTTTCGTTGCAGTTGTATATGTCTTAAGTGTAATTTGGCTTGGCTTCCTATTTATGGACATGCTTTTATTAGAGTTAGCGCAGTTGACAGGAAGTTGTTGTTGCTTTGGAAACAACGTGACGGAGATTAACGGAGAAAAGTAATATCTACATATAAAGACGGAGAAAGTAAACGATAACGTTTATGGTTAAGTGTTAGCACGTTGATATTGGAGATTTCAATAAATTCAATTTGAAGAAAAAAACGGGAAAAAAAACAAAAAACAAACAAAATGAATATCCGAATATCGAAATTGAAACCCGAATAGTACTCCAACGAACGAATATTCGGATATTCGGGTACAGCCCTACCATGAATTGTCTGGAACGTAAAAGGGACGAAGAAGACAAAGTGAAGTGACGTACTTCCGGTTCAACATGAAAACATTCCCAGTTAAAGATGCAAAAACAAATCGCTAAATAAAAAGATACAACGCTGGCATGTCATTTACGTTAGAATAAATAGAATGGTTTTGAATAATAGATGAGAGTAAAATCTACGTCACTTTACTGCCCCGCCCACTTTTGGGGAAACCAACGCTGTCATTTGAACGGCGATCAAGCCTGAAGCCACAGAGCTCTACTGCTGTCCTTTCTTCTTAGAGGAAGTACAGAAACACGTAACTCTGGATTTGTTTTAATGTTTGAGGTGCAATAAACGACACAGCAGCTTTTTGGCATGTTACAACTATTATTTTCTGCCTCGCTCATGAGAGTAACAGCTGGCGAAATTACAGCCTCGCCTACTGATTTTAATTTAACCATATATCGAGGCCGATTCTCGATTTCAAATGTGTGCTCTAAAATGATATTTATAAATGACTATTATCATTATTATAAGCAAGACAATAAATGGCAAAGATATGTAGAAAATAAACGTATTTGAGATACGTTCATAACAAACGTAACGTGGGAGAAAATATGTTTCTAGCTAAACGTAATTGAGAATGCATTTAGTTCTGTGGGAACGTATTTTTTAGGAGACAGGGTTGCCGAAGGAGGAGCCAGCCTACGTCGACCACAACGTGGCGCTGCTTTGGTTCAGCAACATGCTAGCAAATGAGCTAAAAAGCTCGGCTGAAGAGGATCCAGAAATTGCACTTTCATTTTTTCTTTAATCATTTATTTCAGATCACCACCTTTTATTTATGAAATAAAAGATGACCCTGGCCAGGTGAATAAGATTAAGCTGTTTACCTTTAGCCACCAATATTGTTATATTAGTTAGTTAAGTAATTGTTGAATATGGCAAATATGGCAGTAATTTAATCATGACTTTATCATTTGATATTTATAATAAATTCTGTAATCTTTTTTTTCCACTCCCTGCTCCGTGAACAATACACAACTTTTTCTATGGCCTATTTTTTGTAGGCTGTTTAATTACCTGGATATTTCTTATTATTCCATTGTTTATTTACTACATGTTGTAAATAATGGTTAAAACCTCAGTAAATGAATTAAACAATGTATTTAACAGCTAGTAGTTTAATAACATTTTTCATTTTCATGTATTCATAAAGTAGAGGTAAGAATATATGCATCATCTGTCTGCAGCTTCATGTCTTCTATTATGAGCAGCATGGAATACTTTCATTTCTAAGACAGAGGAAATCAATCATGTCATTTAATAAGAACAGCAGCAAAACAAATATCAGCAAAAGTGGGTTTATTGCGTTCTTTATTTTTATTATGTGTGATGCAAGTATAGAGAAGCAGCTGTTTGATGATAAGAATGTTGGGGAATCAGACTCAAGCAATGCTCATTAAATATCTATGAAAGAAAGGACACAGAATACATCTAATTCTGAACCTAAGACAGAAAGAAGTGCAAGATAAAATATAGATAAATATAAACAAACACAATTTAGATTAAGTAATATAAGTGTCTAGACAGTATTGCAAATGTACAAACTGTTAACAGCTATTATAATAAGTATATACAGTATATTCATCATGAGAAGTACTGTATGGCACACAGATGTGATTTCTTTGAACTGGTGAGTCTGCTCTTTGTAGCTTCCAAAAGTCACCTGCGAAAGTTTGGGGAATAAATAAACTCCGTAGCCAGCGGTTTGTACATACATGTCATCTGTTTCCCCGATGTGTGGGGAGATCCCACGTTTCTTGTTCAGGTTTGTTTTTTGTTCTATTATTTTTTGCTTCTGAAAAGATCAAATATAGCAATACAGTTATTTTTTAACCTTTTCATATCACTTCATGTTATCTTTTGCACAAAATGATGGAGAGTAGTATCGATAAGGAGTATCAGTTTCGGTATACCCATCCCTGTTACAAAATGCTTTGCTAAATGCAATTGTTGCACTTCCTTTTCCAATGTTGATAATTCAATTCCATCATACATTTTGTGAAGTTTATGCAAGCTACTGTCTACCAATGCCAGTGCCGACATCACCATGGTATCCTCGCTTTATTCATTGTGCCCATTAATCATCACATTTCAAATGGCTGATTAGTGAGAAGCATTGTAGGCTGTTTGCTCATAATACCACAGGAATGTTTGCTTAGAAGGCTGGCAGCACTGTGTGAATGTTGGCCTGCTGGGACAGTTCTATGGTTACTGCTGGGTTTCACAAGAACTTTTTTACTACTCATGTCATTTTTTGTGTGTAATAATATAAGCACACAATTCTGTTTATCTGAATGGTAGCAATCAAGACCACTGACAACATAACTGCAGATAAATACCTAAAATGTTACACAACAATTATAGTATCATGCAATACACTCTTTTAGTTTGTCATAAAAATCAGAGGAATCCTAAATCTTACACCGTTTATGCTGTTAAGCAGTTTTAGTACACATAACTAATTAATTATTACACCAGTCACTGCAATTGAGGCAAATGTCGGTAATAGAGCAGAATCAATCTATTGTTTTTCAGGCAAGTGAATAACAGCAAATGATCATCACTAGACTCAGCACTTACCTTCCTGCATAACATGAGGAAACAAAAGAAAAAAATGTAATAATTGCATATAACTTACTGCCCTGTTTCTGCTGTATGTTGAAGACTCCACAGCATTCAGTTGTTCTGATCCTGTTGCTATTCTTGGCTGCTTTATCCCTGGGTGCTCAGACTGGTCCCAGAGTCCCTGCGGGCCCCTGTGCTTCACTGGGCTTCGGAGTGGCCTGTGGACAATGAGGTATTGTAAGGTTAGAGGAGGAGGATGACGTGGCAGAAAAACAGGGGGGTTGTGCAGGTCATTTCAGTCAATGTATACTCAGCTGTCCCCAGTGCCCCTTTCAAGACACAAACACACAACACACACTCACACACAGTTAGCAGACAGTTAGCAGACAGTCACCAGAATTAGTGCTAAAATCACAGTAGGTTTCGGATAACTAGAGCTTCAGTGGCCTCTAAGAACTCCTCAATGATCCAATAATAAATACAAAAATACACCCTCACTTACCAAAGTGTCCTCCAAGCTTACAGGATAGGTTTTTTTCTGGTCTATTAGGGATAGGGTTAGTACAGGGACACGTAAACAGCTAAAAGAAAATGAAACAAGTGACAAAAAACAGGACACCAAAGGGGTCTTCCATGTAAGAAATTAAGATTCCGTAACACCTGGATATTTCCTTTGAATTGCTATGTTTGTTCTCACTGAACAATAACTGGCCCTATAATATATTGTTCAAATATAGCATAATAGTCTAGCTTAGGCCCAGACACACCAGGCAGTCACCAGAGAACTCACCGACACCGACAGTTCCATCGACGAGTTCTCCTGCGTCTTGGCCATGTGTCGCACTGGAACACACCGCAAAGACTTCAGCCGAGCACGTACGAACTGCGCATGCGTGAGTGGCAATAACTCTCCTTACCAGCAGGCGGCGGTAGTGTGTATTCGTCATTCAAAATAGGCAACAACCGGAAGACAGAGAAGAAGAACAGACTGATATAAACAAACAACAAATAGCGTGTGCGTTCCATTTTCACTCTCGTCCATCGAAAACATGTTTTAGAATATAAAAATACATGAATGATGAAATGAGCACATAAAGTGCAGACATACTATAAAATCACAGTTAATAGACCTGCATCTGATGATCGCAGTGTTCTGGCGGGTGTGTAGTTTATTGAGTCAGCAATGTAGTAATGTAATAATGGCCACTTCTTGCTAAATTTACATTTCCATGTGATGCTTTTATCCGAGGCGACTCACAATAGGTAAATGAACAGCAGTAGACAGTATCTCATTTACTTAGACACTGTACTTAAGGACAATGTTGAGGTACTTGAGACTAATCCTGCAACTTTATACTGACAAATAAACCGATGAAAAACCGGACTTGACCAAACAAATCACGGAGCTCTCAGCAGAGGACAGCCGGGGACGTTCCCGCCAATATCAGAGATGTCCCTGCTATGTGTGGGAGGTAAGAGAGGACATTTAAGGGCTATGTTTGATGTCTTTAAGTATCACCTGCTGGGGTTTAGCTCCTGTCCTGTGCCTTTTTAAATCGTTTGTTTACGTCCCTCACTTCCGTTTCGCTTCTCATTTGCTAGCTGAACAGCTGATCAGAGTGGTTTCTTGGCCCGATAGCTTGTGTCGACCGTGAAAGGCCAAATAAGGCGTGTCACGGCCGAGGGTTCGGGACACACCAAATTGACTTTGGGCGACAGGGCACGCTTCGTCGCCAGACAACCGAAGACGGCCGATATCGGCCTGGTGTGTCAGGGCCTTTAAGCTGAAGTAAAAAAAAATCTGGTATAGAAGTAAACAATTGCTCTGCCTCCCCACACACACATACACAGAGTGGAGCAAAGGAGAAGAGGAAAATCTCCCTCACAAATGATAAATTGCCTCCAGAGTCTGCAGCATGTTTCAAATGAATACACGTCATTAAGGGCATAACGTTCATAAGAAATTGTATTTATTCAATATTAAACTCCGTAACGGTCCTCCTGTTTCAGACTGTAGGTTAAAGTATTACTCCGCCTCAATCGGATCACTGCTCCAGGTGCACAGAGTTCCTCCACCAACAGCATTAGTCCTCTAATTTAGATCAAAATGTGTCTTTACTTTAGAGTTCATTGAATAAAAGAGACAATGTAACTTGACTAATTAAAACAGGAATGTAATGTTTTACAGTGTATGTAATGCTCGAGAAATATCTCGAGCATTAGGTGGAGAGAATTTCAGCGAGTTCTCACGTCAAGAATGAGCAGGTGTTGAGTTAAAAAAAAGTAATCAGTCGTGTAATCTTATTCCCCCAAAATGAATAAGTAATGTCTCCTGATTACTTTCTGGTACTTTTGGATTAACTGATTTGTGTCTTTTTTTTCTGTTACTGTAAAATACTTCGACAATTGGGATCTCGATTTAACATGGTGTAGTTATATTCACTTGAAATGTATATTTTAAAATACAAATGTTAATACCTGAAAATGCTTACAGTACAATGTATTAGAAACATTTAATACCATTCACAAGAGTCAAATGAATGTAACGCAATTCAGTAAGTGCGCATGTCCCTGCTGTGTATATTTTTAGTTTTTTATTATACAGGCCACTTCAATATTACTTTGGGCTTTTTGTCATGACCTCCATGCCTTTTTCCTTGACCACAGACCTCATTTCAAGTCTATTATGGAAAGACTAAAATAGTGGCCAAACCAAATATGAGTGTGCTCATGGGAATACACATTTTGGAAGGTTACAAATCTTTGTACGATCAAATATCAAAATAAGTGGTGGATGAAAAGAAGGAAATAAGGGGTAATGGTGTGTTTGTTGGTGCATGGTATCACACACACACACACACATACACACACACACACACACACACACACACACACACACACACACACACACACACACACACACACACACACACACACACACACACACACTACCAACCAGTGATCAATGATGACGACGCAGGAGGTTCAACCTATAAAAGATCCCTCTGGCTCAGGATAGGGCAGGGGGTCTCGGTCAGTGCTCGCCTTCATCTCACAGGTAAGTCGCAGCATCACATTTCATATCCATTCATGTTCTGTTTGTATCTCCACAACATATGAGGATGTGGTTGCGGTCTTTTACAAAGTGCCTGTTGGTCTGAATGAAAAAAATGATGTATTAGAATTCTTATGCATATGAAGTCTATGTCTAATCTAACAGTGGTCAGTGCGACAGCAAACGTCAACATTATGAAGGAACTGAGGATGGAGGGTTTGGAAGGATCAGTCATAATGCAAAGTGCATCATTTGAAAATGACTGCAACCTTTTCAACAGCTGTTCAACATGGGTAGAGATTGATGATGGCTGTATCTGAATGGGAATAGATTTGAGGGACTAAAGTCTTCACTCTGCGAATGACAAAACAACAAAAAATGATATCTGTCTACAGAAGCAACTTGTTCCAGCTGCAATGTAAACAAAACTAAAATAGTTGAGGCATAATTGGCAAGAGGGTGGAGAACACATGTCAGACAGCTTTTTCATGTCTTTTTTAAAAGAATTGTGACTAAAGAGAAATGATCATAGATAGACGAGTGACTCACTGTGGAAGGTTACAAATGTCTTATAAGCTGTAGAATTTACAGGAAGAACCAAAAAACGTTGTGATTTATTAAATGTGTTATGTGTTCTATACACTTATTATTCAAACTGAAGTTAATTGTAAAAAGACATTTGATTTAAATGAGTGATGCTTACATAATCACTTTTGGTCTGAGCTAATACCCGTAAATGTATTAAAAAACTGATCTGTGTCATTAAACTGACAGTTTGTATTGTCATGTCCTCTCCCAACTCACCTAATACATGCATCTCTTCTGGCAGAACATTTTCCTGTGGAATATATTCAGCTTACATACCTCGATTCTATTATTATTGATGGAGTGTATGTTGTTTGCCATATGCTTATATACAGTAGGTCTAATACAGATCAAAATGAGTGAGCAACATGGCAAAGAAACATATGGTGTTAAAAACAAATAGTTACAGGTGATCATACAGTGTTGGGAAAGCTATTAAACTGTAGCATGCTTCAATACCACGAGGACAAAGGGACCACGTTCTCTATTTGTCTGGGTTCTATTTCTTTTTTTGTACATCTTGGGGGTGGGTGGGGTTCCGTTTTTTATGATGAACCCTTGGTCTGAGACGTAACATTATTTTGATTACTGCAACAACTCTTTGATAATGAATCCAACAATAATTAAATAAGCCACAATGGTACACACACACACACACACACACACACACACACACACATTCCTAACATCAACATAGAAGTAAGCAGAAGACACTGATGAATTATTGATCAACAAATAGCATGCTTTTCATCTCTGTGGGGTGTGTTGTTGCTGAGGTCAGAATGACGCGCTCTGCAGCCACAGGTCCCGCTGCCCTCGCTCGGCGAGGACTTCCTGCCTCTGTTTCAGGAAAGGGACATGGCATGGACATGTTTCAGTGCATAAATACACAAGATCCATTTACTTCCTCACTAGTTGATTGTGACAAATAAAGGTCTGATATTTCTTGAAACTGTCATCCACATAATGTCGATAATAACAGTTATTTGTTTTAAACATTAAAATAAATCTTTGTGGTTACAAATGTTTTTCCTGGCAAAGATCTGACATTTAATAAAGCTAGTTTAAGTTTGTTAAATACACTATCAGTCAGCTTTTTTGTGACAAGCTGTGGCTGACATGGAATCACTGCTAAATTTGATAAACTCACACAAACGTTTGAGCACTTCCTGTTTCTAAGCTGATTCACCGCTCTTAATCTATTGCCTATCAACACAGATACTGGCAGGGGGGAGATGGTGCGCGTCTCTGCTTCGATGATTCTGGTGGGCGTCGTTGAGGGACGGGGGTCAAGGACATGCTGCTAACCCTTTGTATCGCCTTCATATTTTCAGTGAACTCCAGGAAGGAATTGGTGGCAACCCTGTGTATTTCCTTCATGTGGTCATCGAACTCCAGGAGGGGGGGCGAGTGTGAAAGGGTGAGCGGAGAGAAGAGAGAGCTGGGGGGTGAAGGAAGAGTATCCTCAAAGGTGTTGGTAGGGGGGGTGAGGGGCGTTGGACACTCCTCCATTTGTGTCAAAGGTCTCCCAGAATCAAGACATTCCTCAGGCGGGTGCAGTGATACTTCTTCAAGGTTGTCTGTGCGATGTGTTGTGTCTTTCTCCTGTTTTGATTCCTCTTGCCGCTTGTCCTTGGCAGAGGGAACAGATTGATGACGCAGGCAGTTGAATATGTTAGAGATAAACAAGTTCACTCCTGCCTTGTTCAGGCAAACTCCATCTGCCTTAAAAATATGTCTGCGGTCCCAGAAAAAGTTAAAATTGTCAATAAAATGGACAGAATGGTCAGTACAACACGTGTTCAGTGCAAACAATCTGCTTTACATTAATTTCTCATCTTCAATCACCTTTCTTCATTCTCATAGTTTTCCAAAAAAGTTTTTCTGTACATCCTTTCCATTCATATATCATACTTGATGTCTGCAAACCTTTTTTACACATATTGGTGCACATTGTAGCATAAACCACAAATATCAACAAAAGAGGCAAAGTCAAAACAAGGTTCATTTAAATTATTTATTTAGGTGCAAAACGCTCTAAGGTCTCATTCAAACCTAATAGTCTTCTCTGGTGCGCACCAGACGACAGTTTGTTACATTGTTTCATTTTTCAGAAGGTTCGGTTTGTGTTCACACGGGCAAAACTCAAACGGACTATAAACTTTAAACACAAGTCATGTGCACATTTACTACGCCACTGAACATACTTACATTTAAATGTGTACTACCTGGATTCAGCCATTTTCCGCGCAAAGCATTGTGGGGCTTTTAAGACCGCGGAGGATACACATGTGCATCCTCGAAATTTCCCGCAACGAAGGACTCAGTCCTCGGTAGAATTCCAAGGATCCTGGACATTGGAACAGTCCTTCGGCGGGATTCGATGACGTAGCATCCTTGAAATAGTGTCTCTGAAGGATCCTTCCTCGACATTGAGAAACACCCAGGGACAAACAAACTTACTTGATCAGTCCAGCACAACGCCACGTGTTCAGATCTCTAGTCAATTTAGTTTTAACATTAAAATAGGCAGTCTTTCTCAGGAGGTTAACTTACCATCAGACACACACCTAATATATACTACGTAAGCTATTGAAGATTTTGAATTAACAGGCTCTGTCTTACCGTATTATTGGGCCCAGCGTGTGTGTCTGCTGGTTCGTAAAAACTCCTTCGAAGCTGCAGTTCCTCTCCTGGTATCTTGGTATCACGTCGGGGTTTCACTAATTTGTAGATAATGTTCTTTGTTCCAAGTCCAGGAGTAAGGTAAAAAGGAGACGAATGGAGTCTCAGAAAGTTCAAAAGAGTATTTAATAAAGTAGCGTTGTATTGGATCAAACAGGCAAGTATCATAGCGGAGAGGGTGAAGAGAGAACGATTTTCTACGTGCATTCGAGTATATCTGATTCCATCCTCTTCTTCTCATTGGCTGCTTCGACGAGGGGCGGGTCTTCCTCCCGGCTTCGTTCCTCTGTGATTAGTATTGCATCAAATAAGAGGATTTAGACGTTGTGTGTTTATTGTATAACTCCACAAGCCTTTACTCCTCATATTGTCATTCATGACATTCTGTTTACTTCTTTCTAACGGCTGAAAACAAAGATGACGTGCATCCGGAAGTGACGTAATGTAAACATCCGGGTTTACCTTCAAAATAAAGCTTTTCAAAATAAAATGGTGCATTTATTTAATATTCACGTAACATATTGATTTTATTTTCTTACAGATTTAACACATTTGATCATTTCTGTCTGCTTGCAGAGGAACTTCAGCAGCTGAAACAAAGTGACTGTCATGATGCCTCGACTCATTGTTATGCTGATGATGGCCTCTTTGTCAACAGAGGTCTACACCACCATCAGCTTGGAATCCCCCAGTGAAGGTATAGTCAAAAGCTTTAAAAATGTGTTGTTTGAACACAGCGGATATAAAGTGTTTATAGGTTGTGGCATAGGTTTTATCCCTGAAGGATTAAATACAATTTGGGCTCCAGACAGAGGAATATTGTATATCTCAAAAATAATAAGCTTAATACAAAGACACAGAGGGATAGCCCGGTGACCTAGCCACTAAATGTAAAAAATAAATCGAATAATAAAGCAATTTCTTTTCAACATAAAAGGTCTGTATTTTTAACCAAAATGATAATCAATACATCAAACAAACAAATCACATCACAGACTCATTACCAAAGAAAAAGCTTAAAAAGCCCAAAAATGCAAAAACCAAATAAGACTATTTAATTAACAAAACATCAATGAATTACTGGAATCAAAGAGGAATCATTCAATCCTGGGGAGTGAATGTGAATGAGTGTGTGGGGTGTGAGAAGCTTGTTTTGTCCTTTGTCACTGAATAATTAATCCTGTTGTATTATCTCTCAGTAATGGTTTAATAGTTTCACAATCAAAGGATGGAAGTCAGAGATCTTTGTCTTGTTCGTGTTTCAGATCAGGCAATACTCAAAGCCCTGAGAGATTTAAGCCACGCATCAATACTATCATCAGCAAAGACTTCTGGAAATATACCTTTTGGTAAAGTTCATTCAGCTGATGGACGTTTCCACGGGACAGGATGGTGGATCTCCAAGGTGCTCCTCCCTCAGATTACAGGGAAACGTCAAGACATGTCCTCTTACAACTTCAACTCGTTTGGTCTACGTTACGGAAAAAGACAGGAAAACTGATAGCTGTTGTTATTCTCTGTAAGATCTGATACTTTAACTTATTCATAAGTATTACATTTGTGTATTTAGATTGGGGAAATCAAATAACAATGTAAAGGTTAAAGGCTCAATGAAAACTCTTAAATATTATTAAGGGTATTTTTTTGTGTGCCTTTCATTTATTCTTTATTTTAGACGGACCAGTACACAAAGATTCTCTCTCTTTTTGTCCTGATTCATCTTTATAAAAATCTGTCTGAAAATGAGTTGATCAGATTTTGGTCACTTTGTGATGTCACAATGTTTTTTTGGGTTGTGCAACAATTAGTCAATAACCAACCAAGGTAACCACCTTATCACCTGAATCTCCTCCTAGAGCACCATTCTGTTTTGCTTTTTTAACCAATCATCTCTCAGAGGGGCGTGGCCAGCAGCAGCTCATTAGCATTTACAGCTAAGACCCCATTTACACGAAGACGTTACGGGTTGTATCCGCATAGTTTCTCTTGCATATAGCCCTTTCGTTTACACGAGGCCGTAACAAAACGATAGAAACGGACCCCTCAAACGATAACGGGTCCCAAGGTGGATAGATCTGCAAACGGAACGCTCTGGGGGGTCAAACGGCTCCGTCTGTACGCCTCTATACGATCATTTTCTGATAACGATGAAATAGCCCTGCCTCCCTCTCCCCACGTCTCCCTCTCCCCACCTCTCCTGCTCAGAGATCAGCTGCTGGGCTGTCAGAAGAGGGGGAGGAAAAGAGAGGCTCCGTTTATTATTCTTATATTATTATATAGAGTCGTTATCAATTTGTTTTAAAGCTCAATAAATAACGAAGAAGACCTCTGACCGGCACTTTTCTAATTTTTTCGGAAGATTTAAACTTTAACGGACATGTTGACCGGCGGAAACATTTTTTAACGGATACTCTGCCGCATGGTTCCCTTGTCCCTTGGAAGAGGCGGAGAGGTGGGTGTTTTTCATCTGCTGGTGGACTACCGGGGAGATTTACAGCAGGAGCACACGCCGTCCACCGCGGAGAATAAACCGAAGGGCAACCATGCTCCAGGGTCTTCTTCCCTGCTTTTGGTGTATTTTGTGGCGGCAGCAGCGCCATTTACAGGCCCGGCATATGTACTACAGCGTTTCCAGCGGGTCGAGCGGTCTCGTGTGAACGGACACGTTAATTGAGCCGAATGTGTGTGAACGGAAGACTTTTTTGAAAACGCATACGGTGCGTAAACGCAAACGTTCCCGTGTAAATGGGGTCTAAGACACAGGGCTGAGGGGTTTATGGGATGCTACAATGATCTGTTTGGTGTTTCAGCCAAACACTTCAGAGACATGTTCTGTATATATCTGAGACCTAGTATATTGTGGAAAAAGAGAATAATAGGGGACGTGGTGGAAATGTTGTTTGATTATTGGAGTATTGGTCTGTAATAATATTTAAATAGCAGGTCACCATAATTTTACCAAATGTTATAATCCTATTTCAGTTGCTCTCATGTGTCTCTTCATTATTACACTTTGTATTGGGGCCCTTGCTACCCTCTTTTATACAATTTGGTCTAATATTACCCCGGAAATATCACATTTGTTATAACTTCCCTTGTTGTGGGATTCGGCGCTCTCACCGGCCTGGGTTCCGTTCCCGGAGGGGAACTACTCTCCGGGCGGCAGTAGCTAAGTCTGTAGGGACTTTGCTCGGGAGCCAAACGGTTCCAGCCTCGAAAGGACCAAAATATGAGTGTGGACTGCTGGCTGGAGAGGTGCCAGTTCACCTCCTTCTCTGCCGTACAATGCCCTTGAGCAAGGCACCGGACCCCCAACTGCTACAGGCGCCGGACAGACTGCCACCTCTCCACTGTCGCATGTTGTCCTGTTTCTGCATGTCTGCATGTGTATATCAACTATGTGTGTATTGTAAAAATAACACCAGAATGGAACCCAGAATTTCCCCCTGAATTTAATTAATAAAGTATGTATTCTTCTTCTTATCTACTTGATATTACTCAACAACAATGACATAATTATTCTCAAACTGTAGCCCACTATTACATGTCTTGACTCAACTGTAATGTAAAGTGCTGCACATTCTCATCATGAGTTTAGATAAGTTACACTGAACACAGGTGTAACTTATGTGTCAATCTCTTTCCTTTGTGTATATAATGTGTTCTTCTGTGATTATAGCACAACCAGTAACTGATATTTTTAATCTCTCCCTGTCCACTCACACACTGCCAGCTGTGTGGAAGCAAGCTCTGGTATCGCCCTTCTTGAAAGCTGGTGATCCCACTGAGTTGAATAACTATCGTCCTATCTCAAATCTTTCTGTGTTATCAAAGATTCTTGAGTCCCGAGTTTCTACTCAGCTAAAACTTTTTTTAAATTCACACAACATCCTTAACCCTATGCAATCTGGATTCAGATCAAAGCACAGTACTGTGACTGCCAGTCTGAAAGTCTTAGACGATATTAAGGCTGCTTTGGATAAGAAATCAGTTTGTGTTGCATTGTTTATTGACTTAGCCAAAGCATTTGATCACCACATTATGTCTAATGTTATGTCGGTGTCTCGTTTCGGTCACAATGCCATTTGCTGGTTTCAGAGTTATCTAACCGACCGTACTCAATGTGTCAGGTTGGGTAGTACTGTCTCTGATCCTGTCACCTTGGAGAAGGGAGTTCCACAGGGCTCTATTTTGGGGCCCTTGCTTTTATTATATGTAAACAATATTTGTAATCAGATGCAATTTTCTACCTATCATATGTATGCTGATGACACTATTGTATACTCATGTGCTCCTTCTCTGGATATGGCCGTTTCCAATTTAAAATCAGATTGTATCACGCTGCAGCATGCACTTCTTGATTCGAAACTGCTATTGAACAGTAAGAAAACCAAAGCAATGCTTTTTGCTCCCAAGTCAGCGTCCTCTTGCCTCTCCATTGACACCCTTGATGGCGTCTCTGTTGAGTTTGTTGATACCTACAAATATCTGGGCTTTTGGTTGGACAGTAATCTGAACTTTAAACACCATATTGAAGTTTTAACAGAAATTGAAATTCACTCTTGGCTTCCTTTACAGACTCAAACGTTGTTTTTCAACTTCTTCCCATAAAAGGTTGGTCTCTGGCTTATTCCTGTCCCAGCTGGACTACGGTGATACCATTTATAGATTTGCCTGTCCCACAGTTTTGGCCAAACTTGACCCACTCTACCATGCTGCACTGCGTTATATATCAAATGCACCCTATAGGACTCATCATTGCACACTGTATAGCCTAACTGGATGGTCCTCACTTAGTATGCGTAGGATGCAGCATTGGTTTTTATTCATGTATAAAGCCATTTTAGGTAAGCTTCCACTGTACATATGTGCCAGATTTGCTCTAGTTTATGACTCTTACAACCTCAGATCCAGTGCCTGGATACGGTTCCAGGTACTGGAAAAAGGAGTCTTTTTTATTATGGTCCTTGGTCTTGGAATGACCTTTAATCACTCAAACTGACGGCACTTGTCACTATAGCCTGTTTTAAATTGAAGTTGTCTGAGGTCCTTACCACCAGCTGCTCTTGCAGTAATAAGTAGTGTACCTTTCTTACTGTCCTAATGTGCACAATGTAGTGACTGCTTTTTCGTCTTTTGTTTTCTTAGTTATGTTCTCTGTATTTTATATGTTTGTGTTATGTGTTATGTGTAACGTTGCTGCCTTCTTGGACAGGTCAGCATTGAAAATGAGATTTTATCTCAATGCTTTTTTATCTGGTTAAATAAAGGTTAAATACAAATAAAAATAAATACCTGTTAAGGTGTAAGGAAGTTTATAATAATGCTTACACATGAATGTTTGACATATTAATTACAATTTTATAAAATTACCCAAAATAAATGAGAGCTGCAATACATAGGTGTTTCAATTTTCTTTTTTAAATAAATACACATTTTGCATATAACCAATCATTTTAGCCGGCCCGGCTAAAATAACGGATGGCCTACCTGCCTGTCAGCCTTCCATCTGTGCACAAACTTATCTCGTGCCCTCATTGGTCATGTGCGCGTTCGTGTGTGTTGCAGGAGGGGCTCTATAAGGAAGTGGCAGATTTTCTCCGGTTGTGTATTTTCAAATTCTAGCGATCTCGAGCCGATTTCTCAAACTTACCTACCACACCTTTAAATATATAAAAGTATTAATTTTAGAAACATTCTTTAAAAGTAAAACCTAATTTAACTATATTGCCTTAGTTATTCATTTAGATTGACCTTATTAATATACAATAAATTCAGTATGTATTTCCTCGTTTATTTATTTCAGTACATGTGTTATAGGCGTATTTATTTATGTGTTATTGACGCTATTTTGACTGGTTATCTATACATGTATAATGATCCCTGTGTGATATTCTGGTATTGTACAGTAAGTCGGACAATATGGGAATATTTATTTGTCTCAATGAAACAAACAACAACACAATATAAACAATCTTAAATAAAATGATAAATGATGGAGATGGAAAACATCCTGTACAACAGCATGATTTCAAATAATACGTTTGTGTAGTTTCCAAGCAGCTGTTACTCTGCCCTCAGTCTGTGCTGTAATGTCTAAAGACTTCTGGCTTTCCTCCTGCTGCATCATGTTCTTCTGATCACACCATGGAGGGGCTGCTGGAGAAATACTGACACAAACATGAGAGTTCATTAAGACTGTTAAAATCCTGTAGTGATATTCCTGAGGTATTTCAAACAAAAAACATGTAAAAGCCTTTTTGGTTGAATCTACTAGGCAAATAGCAAAACGTACTGCACTGAGGAAGGGGATGTTCACAGCTGACAGCAGGAATCCCAGTGCCATGGGGAAGAAGGACCTACAGAGGAAAACAAAAGAGTGTGAAGAGAAAAAAAACGATCTCTGTGTTCACCTCTTGCCAAAGTGCATCATTCAAAATTTCCAAGAAAAACAAACGTAATACAGAAATCAATCCATTAAACTGAGATAGACTAAGCATAAACAGCACACACCAAAATATTTGCATTGATTTCAAATACACACATTTTGTTGTTTATTACAATGTTATTATTACATTAGTATTACAAAAATTTCCCAAATTGGGATCAATAAAGTTCTATCCTATCTTATCTTAATATTATTATTATGTTAGGGGAAAAACAATTATTGGGCTCCCTTGTTTTTCTGTCTTACCTAAATAAAAGCACAAAGCCATAACTCTCCACCAGCATTCCAATGATTGCCCAACGGCACAGCACCAGAGTCACGCCTCCAAGGAAGAAGAAAGAACCCCGAAACTTCTGTCTTTGGAAGAAGAAGTGGGCTGTCCTCCTGAAGCCGATGATGAGAGCCAAACCAGTCAGAAAAAGAATCTACAGGGAGTCATTCAACCAAAACAAGGGAAATATTTAACACATTATAATCAATGTTATATATTGCTATTTGTGTTCTTTCTATAGATGGATCCACACAGTCCTGTTTCAAGATTTGGTCCCTGGTTTATTTTACAAAAAAAAAACCTGGTCTATTTCACCGAAAATATACCAGGGTGTATTTTACAGAAAGTAGAACAGGGGCAGGTTGCCAGTGGAATAGCCTCAGGTCCAAGCTCCGGGGCTTCTGAGTCCGGCAGGTCCTGCCCGATGGCCGGGGGTTTGAGGGCATGATGGGCGAACACAAGAAACTGAACACCGTACCATCCCATCTAGTGCTAAGGAGTGCATCCCAGTCACATGCCATAGCTTCATCGGTATTTTAAATTAAATTCTTTGATGATGGCTTGTGGTCAGAACGTTGGAAGACCTAAGATAAAGGTCGGGAGTTTATTTAATTGATTTCCTCCATTTTTCTCCATTTACTGTGAGGTTTCTTTGGTTTTGTCCGTCCACTTAGATGCACATTGGTCATGAGTCTTTCTAATGTTTAGCCTGACACTTTCTGTTTGATTTTTGTGAACCAAATCAATTTTGGAAAGTATTTAATCAATCATCTTTTTAAGAAGAGTTTTGAGGGAACTTTAGAACAGTAGTTAAATAGAATATATGTTATACTTATACTCCTCTAAATTTCAAAGGGAAATACTGTATTACACTTTTAATTTCAGTACATTTAGTTGAATGTTTATTTACAGATTAAAGCTGCACTAATACATTTTTAAGATGAATGAATGATTCAAAGTGTGATAAACTAGGTCAACTATTGTCTGAATGTTAATATGAGTCAGTGTTGGTGTGAGGTGTGATATGTATACTGGTGTGTGTGTGTGTGTGTGTGTGTGTGTGTGTGTGTGTGTGTGTGTGTGTGTGTGTGTGTGTGTGTGTGTGTGTGTGTGTGTGTGTGTGTGTGTGTGTGACACACACAAATATTACTCACATTCCCAAAGGCCAGCAAGACTGAGTCAAAATACAGCAGCACACCAAAAAGCAGGAAGAATAAACCGAATCCCATCACACCAATGCCAATCTCTGGAAGACACACACACACACGGGGACGAAAACAGAACACAAACATAATCAAATTAAACAAAATCTTGAGATGCAAACAAAGACATCCAAAATAACCCCTCAAATATGTTCTGTAATGATTATTATACTGCGCTCTAGGACGTGATGCGTTGCACGTAAAAAGGTATGAAGACAAACATTACATGTTTGGGGGAAATATGGAGCTAGTGTGCACACACAGCTGATTGAAAGCTGGAACCCCCAGCACAAAATAAATTGAAATATTTTGTTGTGAAAACTTTGAACCTATTGTTTTAGTACAGCAATGCGTAAATACAAATTAAATGCATTTTTTTATTTCTTAAAGAGTGATCCCTTTTCGTATTTAGCCTTTCTTTAGACTTTTAAGCAATCCAAATTTAAGCAATTGAGAAAACATTAAGATCTCATCATGCATTACATCACACAATTGTGTTATGGCAGAGGGTCATCAGCATGAATGGTCACATTCATCATTAATGAATACATACAGTAGGAGGTCTGTCATTAGCTGATTCAGCGTTTTAGGGAGGGTGTAGGTAGAAACATGTTTGTTGTCCTTACTTTACAACACAACGGTTACATACTGAACAGCAGCTCAAGTCAGGTTTATCCTCTTTAAACAATGCTCCTCGCTCACTATTTAAACCATTTGTTCAACACATTGGGCCAAAGATTAGGACCGATATTAGATCACTGCTGAATAGTTTTAAACATACCAGCACTGCTCCTTCATTTAACACACTTCTGAGTGATTATGTGACACTCATAGATAAGAGGAACTGATCAAACTGAACATTTTCACAACGCTTTAAAAAGCCCATTTTTGTATTCTGAAATCAGACCACTTCTCTGTGCCATGACTCACGGGATCACAGCTCCACCCTAACACTTTACAAGAAATGGAAACACTTACTCTGTAACTCTGTGATGGCCAACATGGTTAACACTTATGTCCCCCGTCCTTGTGTAACCAGCTTAGTCTCTCTGTGCCTTTCAGAAACAAATGAATCCCTTCCTTTGCTCAGAAGTGACCTTTGTGCACTGATGTGTAAGTTGAACATTAACCATAGCAGGCACACGTCATGATCCCGGAGATTCTCAGGTGAAGGGTCAATTTCCTGAGTGATATCATGACCTTTTTTGAACATTTAATGGATTAATGCTTTATTTTGTGTTTTGAAAACATCAGACTGTTTTAGAAAGTTCAACTGCAAGGTTTACATATTTTAGTTAATTATTCTCCATACCATTCACCATCCATTCATCCAGGTCCGGAGCCCGAGTGAAGAGAAAGCTAACATGTATTAGTTCATACAAAAATAAGAAAATAAGCTTATTATCTCCATCCTCTCTTCTTCAGGAGTCATTTCAGTTGTGGTGTTTTCACACGAAGGCCAAAGGAAGCCAGGCTGCCCCTGTGTTTTTAGGCCTCAGTTGTAATTTTAATAAAAAGCTTTGTCTAGTTTTAGTAGTTCTTCTGTGCTGTGTGATGCTGCCGTGTCTCCCTTATTTTCATTGAGTATTGTGTTCAGAGTGAGACAGCGCCCTTCTAAATGTCATGGTAACTGTGTGGTGAAACACAGTATGTTCCTCACTCCAGACTGATGTCAGGTAGATCAATTTTTTTATATTAAAAAAAGTCTCAAGTCCTCATTTCTTTCTTTTTTTCCGTCTTTCTTTCAACATAATTGAGAACCTTCATAATGCCACAACCATACAGGCTTGCAATAGTAAAAAAAAAGATGCCCCATCCCCATAAATAAATAGCCTGAGATGATGCAGAATATTTCAAGGGTCGTGGTCGAGGTCGTGCACCCACCAAACATTGCACCTGTAGAAAATGCTTGTTTCACTTTCTGTATGGTATTACAAATGATTAGACAAGCTCCTAAACAACTGAAACATTTAATGTTCGTAGTAATTTGTTTGGTCTGTGCTATATTTAAAATGAATGATAGCACTTATCAAATGGAACTGTGGCCGGATAGTTCCTGTGTCACAACTTATTTTTATTGTACGGTATGGTGAAAACTTTTGCCAGCATTTTAACATAAAATATTAACTTAAAGTGGACCTATCATGCTATATTTGAATAATATATTGTAGGGCCATACCTATATAAAACATGTCTGTGAAGTTTTTTTTTCAAAATACCAAACAGATCATGCATTTTAGCCATGCCTCATTTTGCTCTATTTTGCTCTCCGCCAGCCTGTCTTTGCATGAGCTGCAGCTGAGCACGCCCCCCCTGCAAAGGAGGGGGGCGAGGCACGAGCGTCATGTTACCATGCTGTTACCATGCTGTTACCATGCTGTTACCATGCTGTTACCATGCCACGGCAACCTCTCATTCCCCTGATAGGTGGAGAGTTGGCCATATAGGCGGAGCTCCTCCGTCCTGACGTCAGAGAAATGTTCAAATCTGGATCAGTCTGTATCAGATCCGTTGCAGCCCCCTTTTTAGAGATTTTGGGTATGGAGCAAAAGAGAGAGTGTTGTGTTTTCTGACACTTGGTGAGTTCCCTGGAACACCGGGGACACATATTCATGTATAAAAGACGTACAAAAGTGCATTTTGCATGATAGGTCCCCTTTAAGTATTCATGATAGATGTTTACACTTTTCTTTTTTAATACATTAATTAATTCTGTATTACAATGTGTACATTGTAATAGGCGATATGTGCTATCTTTAATAAATAACTGACTGTTGATTTGTTCCTCTAAGTCAGGGGTTTTCAAAGTGTGGGAAGGTGAGCCTCCCCTCAGAGAACATAAGAACAGCCGCGCCCCCCCTCCCAATTATTTAGTGGGAATGCTGATACAGCATTCCCACTATATGTTATTCTACGGACAAAATTATTATTATTCCGCCGGAATTTTGCACCTCTTCTCCTTCTGCATTCAACATCGCAGAAACTCCGTTCAAACATCAAAACGTTCAGCTCGGTCGGGAATCGATGGCTATCATTTGGATTATTCATAACTTTCATAATTCCAGAGATACATCCCATAATTCATCACATTTTTAACCATTGAAGTCAATGGAGAAAATCTTCAGACTTGAACAATCTTCATGCGACTTCAACTGCTAACTGTTCATTCATACTTTCACTCAGAAACCTCATTCCAACTTTAAAATGTTACACATCTTTCTGACATTATTCGTGTAACACAACTTTTAAATCTGATTCTTACTTTTAGAGATATTAAACATTGTTCAGACCTTGGTAAAGAGGCTTTCTTCAAATTTTAACATTAACTAGAGTGTGTGATGTCACAGCTAGAGGGTAGGAAATTTGAAATTTGCCTTCATATATTTTTTTTAAACTGCCATAATTCCCAAACCCTACATTCCTGAGACATAATCTTTCATGACAAACGTAGGAAAACATCTCGTAGCTTGAAAAATGACAAATAATTACGCCAAAAATAATTAAACAAAATGCCTCTTGAGGGCATGAAGTGACAAAAACGTTCAACATGTCTCAACCCATTGTAATTTCAGGCTGATATTTCCTCACAGCAGCAGCCGCACACCTTTAGAATAAACTGCCAAAAAGGCCACATTATTAACCCGAAAGTACACAAAAATTACACTTCAGATACTCAACTTCCTTGACATGCTTCACGTTTTGAAATTTCACAGATATCTGTTATGGTTCTTCCACAAAACGTTCACATGTAAGAGGTTTATCTCTCATTCAGAACAATGCAAACCTTTGATCTCTACAGAGCTCGTTAGCTCAACTATAAACACCTGTGTAATGGAACACGATGATGTCATCACTCCAACTGACAGCAGTCAGTTCTAACTGTTCATTTCATTCAAAAAATATATTTACACACGTAAGGTCATCATCTTAACAGTTTGTTATGCTCATCGAGTCATCCGTGAGCAGAGCATCAAGTTGGCATGCCTATAACAGCTGAATGCGGCGATTACCATCTTGTTCAGCAAAACGCCTCACAAACTGATTAAGATCTAAAGCTTTAGTGCGTTTTGATTCAATGCTGAGTACAGCCAAACTTGACAGTCTCTTCTCTGCCATTGTAGACCGCAAATACCTCATTCCTTCCGTCTACTTGGGTCCGAATGCTTCTCGTTTTGCGCCGTCCCGTTCAAATGAACTCGCCGCCAATCACATTTCCACGCTCGCGCCAGGGCCGGGGGGGGGGGGTTACAAGGCTTGCGTCTTGTGCTGCATTCACTTGGACTCGGACAGTAGGGATTTTCTCTCATAAATGTCCGATGAGCCACAACTTTTTTTTCAAAACAAAGCTGCCAACTGCGGTGGCAGATGGGGTGGCAAGGCCTATTTTTAGGGTGGCAGTTGCCACCCCATGCCACCCCGGTAGATCCGCCCCTGCTTAACCGGTACTTGCTTTTGATCAAAGTCAATGCGGAAAACCCGCACTCACACAGGTAGGCGGAGGTGAAGGGAATGAGCACTTTTACAGACTTTTTGGCGAGGTGGGGGAACTCGGTCTCCACAACAGCCAAAAGTGTGCAAGTGACGTTTTCTGCCAGACGCTGTCTCCTCTCTCACTTTAGGTAACTTCACTAAAAATCGATCCATGTTGTCTTGAATTTAACTAGCTGAAATTCTCGTTATTTTTTTCTCACGCTGCACCTCCCCTGAAGCTCTCTGGCGCCCCCCCGGGGAGGCGCGCCTCACACTTTGAAAACCGCTGCTCTAAGTGTATGTGAAAATAATCAGTCGGTCTTTAGTTTGCACTTTATTCATTCAGAAATACAGTTTGATCAAACACAGACTGTAGGTATCATCAGGGAGCCTCCTGACAACCAGCGGCTGGACCGCAGGAGTCTTTGTGGCAGTGAACGTCAGCAGGTGGGTTAAACTCAGAGCAGTAAATATATCATCATTCCAGGCAGCCATATATTATTCTCCAAAATACTTTGATAAATCCAGAAGCATGTAGAGAAACACATTATTTGTATACATTCACTTTATTGCATTTTTTTTTCTGAAGCAAGCAGATTATGTGTCTATAAATTTTAAATAATTTGCATAGTTCAAGCAGAGTCTATTTTCCAGCAAAATAGCAATGGTTATATGTGATAGTAGGATATGCTTAACTGAAATAAAAAATAGTACATTAAATAATGTACGTGTTTATATTATTTTTCTTCTTAATCCACAAATGCTACATCTAGTATCAAATATTGGTCACCACCTGTCATTTCTTAACACATCAGATTCCAATTTATCAAAAAATATCTATGTTCTGCTCCTGAAAACATTCCTGCAGAGCAATAAAATAAAGTATTTTTCGTGAAAAATGTAAAACGTAATTAAGTGTAAAAATGTTACCTGTCAACTTGTCATTGAATATCCATGCATCTAAAAAAATATGATCTGCCTCTTTTGAATGCATTCCCTTTCTAAAAAAAACATAACACAAGAAAAAATAGAAGTGTTCTCTTAAATCCGTGTTTCATTATTTGCGTAGTGCTTTTAATGGTTTCAGCGTAAAAGTATTTTTAAAATGTCTTTGCCATATTGTCTCAATAAGAACAGCTTTATACAAAGGCAGGTTACTTGAACCTTGAAGTGTGTGAGGGCAAACATAGCATCAATAACATACACATCAAAAAGAGAGGTGTGTGTGTGTGATTGTGTGTGTGATCAAAGTCTTCCAATCTGGAGGAAGTTTAACGTCGAGGCATGGCCCAAACTTAAGAGTTGTAACATTTGAATAAAGACGTTTAGAAAATGTTTGGGCCTTTCTGTGCGACACACTGAAAAATAATACAAATAAATTACCAGCACATGTAGTGTAGTCACCAGTACCACCCAGTCGCGTCATTAATCTGTTGTATCAGTGGTTTAAAATACACACAAGGAAATGGCATTAAAACATGATTGGCGAATGGAATTATTGAATTTGTAAAAAAAGTGTTTTAACATTAAATGTGTCATTAAATAGTAATGAACTCCAATAAGTACTTGTATAGTTAAGAAAAACAAATGAAATGAGTGATTTTCTTATTAATTATTGGGGTTCCACTTAAAGCCACTGTGTAGACATCATTGCATTTCCTCCATGTCCATAACATGTCCATTCATCATGTTCAGATGTATGGCACTGCATGACTGGATGACATGTTGTTGGGATATGTTACATGACATTGTTTTCCAGCATATCATTCCTCTGACTGCATCATCAGCTAACTCCTCTCAACACAGACAAGTGCTTTCTAGCAGAGTTACTCTTCTAAGGTCACTTCTATTTTTACTTTCCACATACACGGTACAATTTATAAGCAACATACTTTACCTATACATCTGCAGACAAGCGTTTGGGAATTTCTTGAGCACTACGTGAAGGCCCACTGAATTTGATCACAAAAATCTTCCCGATATTTCGTTCCAACACAGGTCAGAACTACCATGTTCATGTCGAGCAGGTTACAGAGTAGAGGTCCGTGTGGAGCACCGCTGTGTCAGTGTTCAAGAGTCCAGGATCTCATCACATTTCCTGCTGGAATCTGTGCACATGTTTCCTTGTGTAACCAGATGACCACCATCTGTGTGTGTAGATGAGAGAGGTTGGATCATCTCTGTCAAAACTAAAGTTATAAACCAAAGTGCCATGGTTGAAGGTATCCTGAAATGTTATATAAGGAAAAGGCTTCTGGACTCATATGAAACCTTGTCTTAGAGCAAGTCCTGTCTCTCCTTTGAGGGTCAGATGTTGCCTACATCCAGGGGAGAAGATTGTGTCGGTTTTATGTTTTGAAAAAAGCTATTGTAAAAGTTAATATAGTATACCTAAGAATGTAATCTACCTGGTGGTAGGCTCTTTATCATAATGTGTGACCCACAACATTGGGGAAAACATACAACAGTAGATGTGTAAACTCCACCATGCACAGAAGACAAATCAACCAATCTGACTGGCTTCCACACTAAAGAGCAGATAAATAGGGCACAGAGCAAGGTGATTGTTTCCCAGCCTTGCTGTGCACACTACTTTGATGTTCCTCCTTGGCAAAAGTACAACTAAATGTAATGTGACCTACAAACAGCCTACCTGGATCAATGGCACTGCAGCGATGGCAGTGAGCAGAGAGTGGACTCTTTCATGGAAGAAAAGGGTTCAGCCTACATCATGCTTTCTGTGTGACAAACATTTGATCAACCGCATGTGTCCGGCCTGATCTGAACAGAATGCAAGCGTGCCCACTACACCACATCTGCTTCACCTGATGCCTTACAGAACTATTCATCTTGGAATATATCAGGGACCTAACACTTCTACCAGTACATGAGTAAAGGGCTTCCATAATGTTTGTTTAATGTAATGCTAATGTTTGCACATACGCTTATATAACAGCAGAGAAGGTTTATAGATGTGTGTGTGTGTTGGGGGGGTCGGTGGAGGTCTAGGTAAACAGGCATCACAGTGAGTTTTCAGCTTCTTACAAGAGAAGGGAGGATTCACTCTTATTTTGCTCAGTTCTCAAAATGTCAGTATATTTTGTGTAGGGGAATGCCCTCAGTCTGTCACTAGTACCACTCCTCACTGCGCCTCCAGCCCTGGTGTGTTTCTCCCAGGTTGATATGGAGATTAGAAGATAATGAATATTGTCCAGAAGCAGGTTCAAAGCCTCTACTACTGGTCCACCTCAGTCCTGGTCGCTGGCCTCTACCTGGACTCGGTTATTTCTGCAGGTCTTTCCTTGTCCCTCCTCATTGGGCCTCTCATGTGCAGTTTCCCTTGTAAAATGATCAACACTGAACAGTAGTACTGACATGTTGTCCTTATGAGTGTAAAATATATCATTACCAACATGGTCATCCTTAATATCTACTTTGTAAAATATGTCCTGAGCACAATTATTTAGCAATATTTTACACCTCAAGGCTGGCGAGAGATCTGGAGCCTTCCACAGTTCCACATAGCTTCCTCTCAGCTTTGCATTAGCTCTCTTTCCTCCTTAGACAACGTTCCCTGCTTTTGTGGTAGCTCAGTTTAGGTGACAGAAAAAAGTCATTTGTCCGGGGGCCATCTTCATTGTTGTGTTTGTGCAGTCCTCAGAAAGATGCTCCATCAAACTTGACAGCCACCAGGGCTTGAGCTACAGACAGCAGGAAAGCAGAGCAAAGTTAGAGAAATACAGATCTCATTTGTGGTGATTCAAATTAACTGGCTCTTGTCATATTTCAATAATAGGATTTGTGAGCCATTTTAAGAATCACAAGCAAACAAAGGACAGCTTATTTTTTTTTCTCAAATATCTATGCGAGTAAAAAACATTTTGTCAATGTAATTTATATCTGGAACTCACCCCCCAACACATCCATGACTGCACCAATCTCACCATGTTCAAATTACAAATCAAAACTCACCTTTTCAGAACTTTTAATCTGTAATTAATGTTGTGTTTTATATAATTTGTTGTTTTAATTAAATTTGTATACATTTTGATTCTGTTAAGTGTCTTTGAGTTTCTTGAAAAGCACTCATATATAAAAGGTCATATTATTATTATATCCAATTAATGTTACAAAGTTTTGCTGAAATGGAGCAATTGGACAAAAACTGGGTCATCGGCATCTTTGTGTAATCAGGTCCAATATTAGTGAAACACCATGTGGTATCATAAACTCCAGTAGATGGCATGAGGAGAAACATGCAAAAGAAGTCTCAGAGAGGGAAGCAGGCACAGGGCGGGGGGGCTGTCGGATCAGAGACTCACCTTGTACTCACGCCTTCATGGTGTGGGCGGAGTTAGGGACGTCAGCAGAGGAAGGGGGGTGGGCCAGGCTGGTCGGGGAGGTGGGGGGACTGGGGGCGCACTGTGCTGGAATGAGATGGGGGGGTGAGAGGAGTGAACACAAGGCAAAAGTGAACCAATCAAAGGGAGAGTACAGTGAGGAAGAGAGGAAGGGAACCTGAGACTTGTCATAGATGCCTGGCTCAGACTGTGAGCCTCTCTGTCTTTTAATAAATGCATCCTTCCGATCTACCGCTTATCCGGGGTCTTGTCGCAGAGGAAGCATTTCCAGCAGAGGGCCCACAACTTCCCTTTCCCTGACCACATTAACCAGCTCTGACTATTTTCACAAATCAATTTCAATCTAAATTACACAGTAATACAGTTCCTAAAAACAAAAAACAAATGCTTCTTTTAATACAAATCCAGTTGTTTAGCAGGATATAGGCCCATGCATTGACATGTGATGCATGATGAAGTGGAATACTGAGCATCTGTTACTTCTAAAGATGAGCATTAGTTTTCAGATGTGAGTAGAGTTAGTAATGGAGGTATATGTGCACGAGGCAGTGTGAGGGGTGAGTGCAGTGTGACTGCTGAGCAGTTAGTACTCTGTTTGCAGCTCAATGAGCCCTATTGTGAACCCAGAAATGAAGGGTACCCCAAAGTTTTATGTTAGAAATGTATAGTACGGGTGCCCAGAAACTGCCAGATTCTAACTTGCAAGTGTGGGCAATTTGCACAATTAGCATTAAAGCTCACCTATTATGCAAAATTCACTTTTTGATGTATTTTATACATAACTATGTTTCCCCGGTGTGTAAGGAGACTCACAAAGTGTCAACAAAATAAAACCCTTCTTTCCTTTCCTCCTAACCCACATCTCTAAAAAGGGGGTACAACGGAGCGGATCCAGATTTGCTGTGTCATGACGACATTACTAAAATGTGGCAGGCTTTATGTCCACGGCCCTATCAGAAACATCGCTATCAGAAACAATGCGCGACGTGTTTTGGAAGTAATAAGGGTCTGCGTTTACATTAGCAAGCATTGCTAACACTCAGAGCTAACGCTGTACTGGAGAGAATATGTGTAAAAAAACAGGATAAAGGTTTTCACCTTGTAGTAAACCCGCGAGAGAAAAAGCGTTTGAGCTCCACACTGTTTCAGAAATAATGCTTGATGTGGTTTGGAACATAATATGGCGTTTAATCACGGCAGCGTTTAGCTGAGTTTCTGCTGGTAGACAGCCTTCTCTTCACAGAGCTCACTGCTTGCATGCGGACGCTCCAAAGGGGTGTGGCCAGCAGCAGCACCAAAGGGGCGTGGCCAGCAGCAGCTCCAAAGGGGCATGGCCAGCAGCAGCTTGGTTACATTTAAAGGGCCAGACCCAGAATCAGCACTTTAGTAACAGGGCTGAAATAGAGGCGTATGAGGCATGCTACAATGGGTGATCTGTTTTTGAGCAAAACACTTCAGAGACATGTTTTGTATAGATATGGCCCTATAATATATCAGTGTTTCCCCTAGGTTTACTGGGGGAGCATTGGGATATTTCTTTTTAAAAATCCTCTGGAGCAGAGAGGGGAGCTGTGGATTATTGTTATTGATTAATGCATCAGTGTTTCTTAGGGTCAAAAACACTAAACTCACAACTTAAAATGAAAGCGTTTAGTTTATTTAATAAAAGAGCACATGTTCAATGCAAAAAGTGACAGTAGATATAGATTAGTTGCAATTTGGTGCTATATATATATATATATAAAAATAAAAAACACCTTGAATTTTAGGGGGAGCGCGGGGCTCCGTTGGCGGGGCGCAGCGCCCCTCCAAGACAATGGTAGGGGAAACACTGATATATTGTTCAAATATAGCATAATAAGTGACCTTTAAATTGCATTATAACCCATGCAGACAATAGGTAACAAAATAGCTTGGCCCATTTGGACAATTTTGGAGTGGTTTGCGGGTGTTTGAGGATGTTGAATCAGTTTCTGACATCACAGTATCCAAAATGGCAGATTTAACCTGAAAGGGGCCTTGTTTGTACTCCCTGTGGGCTGCTTTTGAAAACATTTTTGGTCGATTTTGAAGTTTTAGGGGACAGATTGCTTACTTATTTGAAAATAAATTGTTCACATTAGCGATAATCATTTTCATGTTGTGCTCTCTATATCCAAGTGTTGCAACACTACTCATGGTAGTCAAAATCAGCCCACCAGGGGTACAAATATGACCCATGATTCAACAATAACAATACAATAACCCCCAAAACCACTCCAGAGAGTTTAACTATTGTCTGCATAGGTTATCATAATTGTAATTAACACAACTTATGCTAATTGTGCAAGTTGCCCAACATATGCAAGTTAGCTCAACAATTCAGGGTTCACAGTTCTGGCCACTAGAGGGATGCGGAGGTGGAGCGGTCCTCACCGGAGAGGAGGCGGCTGCGGCGCGACGCCTCGGCAGCCAGGGCGCAGGAGATCTCGATGCGCTTCTCCTGCTCCTGCAGCTGCTGCTGGGAGCTCCCCGCCCCCCCCTCCACCGGCCCGTCCAGCAGGGGCACCATGTTCTGCAGACTGCACGGGGTGGACGAAAAGAGACACGGAAGAAAAAGGTAAATAATGGAGTATTTGTTTGTCATAGATCGTGATACATCTGACTTTTTTAATACACCATCATCTGCATACTGTATTAGGAACTTGTGTATTCTTTGTTATTAACATTTATACCTTTAGTTCTATCTGATCTTTTCTGTAAGCAAGCTAAAATGAGCCGTAATGAAGACAGGGGAAACACTTCTTAGTTCCTCGGCAGTTAAACATAATGTGAGCTCTGAGAGATGGAGGCTGCGTGTGAACCCACAATACAGATCCTGCTGAGTGAGCACTTTGTGAGGGTTCATTTAATGCCGCTGAATGCTATCTTGGTAACTCATGCATAAGGTTTCTGCTGAATGATTAAGCAGCATTGATGAATAAACTGCATTTATTAGATCATGTTTAGAGAAAAAATAATTATATTAAATAATTTACCTTCACTTTGATATTACATTTTAGCTGTTGCTTTTCATTTGAATTAAAACATTCATCTCATTATTTTTACAAAAACTTTATTTGTATGGTTACATTCTTTTATAATTCTTCTCAATCTACTTCAATGTAATTGACAATGTAAAACACGTTAAGGAGCCACACCGTTGCCTTAAGTGACATATTCTTTTATCACTGTTTACACACAAGGTGCACTTTACAGAGATACGAAGACGGAGGAGCATGCTTTATTTGAGCTGAGGGTTTATAATGTTTAGAAACAGGCCAGAAGCACAGCAACAATGACGGATGTATGAGTGAAACCCACTTGGATTTAGCGATGAGGGTCTTGATCCGCACAAGTTTCTTCTGCTTCTCCCTCTGCTCCTCGGGGCTCAGCGGGGGGCTGTCCTCCACATCCAGGTAGCGCTCCGGGATCAGAACCTTGTCAGGAGTCAGAAGCTAAAAAAGGTAATCTAATTAAATATGGATCCACACACATATATCCTACATGCACATAGAAACACACACAATTACATCTAATTATATTTTAGAAACATTTTAGAAAAATATGATTGTTTTGGAATTAAGAAATGATGTATCAACATGTCTCCTCTTGAGCTACGACCCAATGTTCAGCGAGAATAGGCCGACACAAGAACAACAGCAGCTGAAATCATTTTCCTATATACAGCTCTGGAAAACTTAAGAGACACCACTGCAAAATGATCAGTTTCTCTGGTTTTACTAGTTATAAGTATGTGTTTGAGTCAAATAAATATATTTGTATTTTTTTCTCTAAACTACTGACAACATTTATTTTTGTTGGAATTCAACAGACACTGGAATGGAACGGCTGCCATCCATGTAGAGATTGAGATTCAAGAAAATGTGGAGAAAAATCGTCAAGTATTGTGTTGTAAAATACTTTTGCCAACACTGTTGATCATCTGTGTTTTTGTATGCTCAAACACCCCGTGGTCTGTGCCATTATTAAGGTGTGGACTGGTACCTGGAGACGTGCCCTTGAAGAAGGCACCGAACCCCCAGCTGCGCCCTGGAGCCGGACCGACTGGCTGCCTCCTGCTCTGGACCTCCCCAAAATGCACGTGCATGTGTGCACCTGTGTGTGTTTGTACCTTGTATCTGTATAACAAAAAAGTGTGTGTGTGTGTGTGTGTGTGTGTGTGTGTGTGTGTGTGTGTGTGTGTGTGTGTGTGTGTGTGTGGGTGTGTGTGTGTGTGTGTGTGTTTCTTCTTATCTATATTCCCATCTCTGGGCTCTACCTAAAACTAGCCACAATGCATTGGCACTCGTGTAGCAGAGTAAGGCGGCAGCCATTTATGTCTCAGTCTTTCATGTAGTCTATGATGTTTACTGAGAGCATATATTTGTTTTCCCTTACTTGATGCCTCCTAACAGGCAACATACAGTAAGTACCCAAATAACACAGCATTAATCATGGAAAGTGCTGACAGTGCTTTGTATTTTAACAGCTATTATTTATTTTTGTTTGTAAAACCTAAATAAATAATCAGTTGTTGGCGGTCAATTTTTAAATGTTGCTGAAGCAGAAGTATGAGTCTGGCCCAGTTAAATACACTGCCTACATGCACCTAGTTACATTCCACATTACATTACATCAGAGTAAACACAATGTTCATTTGGCAAAGGGTAGCCCCTCACCTCCCTACTGATGTCCAGGTGGTACGGCTGGGCCTCCCCCTTCACCTGCCTCAGGCGAGCGATTTCCTCCCGAGGAGACTCCAGACCCTGACCTCGCACTGCCAACTCCAGGTCATTAATGTCAATCTCATGAGCTGTCAGCCGCCTTCGAATCTGTCACACAAACACACACACACACACACACACACACACACACACACACACACACACACACACACACACACACACACACACACACACACACACACACACACACACACACACACACACACACACACACACACACACACACACACACAAATACAGTTACAATTAGCAGCTGTGGCTCGGAGGTAGATGGTCAACCTCAAGCCGGAAGCCTGTGGTTCGATCCTGAACCCTGCTGTCAACATGTCGATGTATGGCAGCCTCTTTCTCTTTGAATGTGTGAATGCTGATTTGTAAATTGTAAAGACTGGAAAAGTGCTATATTAATGCAGTCAATACACCATAAATGATGAATAGCCTGTTAAAAAATATTTGGTATTGATTTGTATTTGTATATGAATGCCAAGTGTGCTGTTGACCTGCTACCTCTGAAACGCAGGGTGTCAGCAGGGTGTAACACATGACGCTATTCACATTTGTATCTGTTCATTCCATATGAGATAAAGAAATGCGGTCCATTTTCAGTCAAGTTTCATGCTGTCATGCACAAACAAGTTGATATGGGTAAACACCTTAGTGTTTGCTCCGTATGGATGTTGTGTACAAACAATTAGCCAAATGACTTTGATTCGTTAAGAACATGTCTTGTTCTCATAATTAAAAGACATGTGGTTAACACAATTGTACATGTAGGACTACAATACCCAGCTGGAAGCACCTGTTAGGTTTTTCCTTTCTGGCACTCAGTGTTTTAATGCTTGACAGGATAATCAGATGTAGATCGTACCACTTTGTAGTTGGCTGGAGACTGGCCTCCGGAGAGGATCAGACTCCTCCTCTTGTCCCTCACAGAGCTGCTTTGGTTTCGTCGGATTCGCTCATTCTGCTCCTCCACACTCATTTTGGATTTGAGCTCTGCAGGAAACACAGCGCTCTTTGGACGCTCCTGTGAAAAAGATGTGGCATACAAACACACTTCAGTTCAAGCAAAATGTCCGTCGTAGTCCTAATGGCATTTTCTGGTAACTTTAAAATGTTTGGCCCTTCAATAGTACTAGCTAGAAAGCAACTAAAATGGACAGAGAGCATGAGGTTCAGGTCCTATCAGCATAATGCTGCACACTGTTAAAAACATGACTTACAAATATGAGGTCATTAAGTTTAGAAAACCCGTTAATAGGAGAGGAAGAAAGAATACTGATAACATGGCAGATATTTGACCAGGACCTTCATGACATTCCTTGACTTGTTGTAGATGCTCTATCGTAAGAATAATATCCCCAATATCTAAATATCAACTTCTCAACCCCTGAGCAACTTCAACGTGTGATGTTATTTCTATCATGCTGGTTGTTGGTGTTATTCACAATGCTGTAAGACTGTTTCAATTTTGAACATATCTTATGTTTACATAACAACAAAATATTTGAGTTCAAGCTATCAAAAGTTATCTGCAGTTATCAGAAAATAGTAACACAAGACTTATCTAAGTGCTCAGAAAACCTGAACATGGTCACCGTGCACACTGAGAAGGGTTTCATTTCTTCACAGGCTGTGCTTGCAGTATTTAAGTCAGACATCTGGATATTCTTTACAAGTAGTTTGGGTTGACATACCCTCGATATTCCATTGGGAACTCTCCAGCTCACTGCAGCAGAGCGGCTGTGGGACTCTGCGGTCGGGGACTTTGTTCTAGGAGGCACAATGCCAACTGGCAAAGAACAACAGATGTTGAAACCATGGGAACAAAGATGGGGCTTGATTCTCAAAGGTAAGACTATGGCATACATAACACTTCACAGACTGAAGTCTGAACTGCATTATGGTGCTTCCTTCATCTGTCATTTAAACATGTCAATAAGAGTAATATCATCAGTATAATCCTATGCGCCAAGAGGTTCTGTATACCATACCAAGGGTTTATTGCTAGATTTTGATCATCAGCAGAAAGGATTATTATTATTACATATAACTAGAGTTTAGATTGTTTTACCTTTATTCATAGTGGATTGTCTGTCCTGGTCCTGCATGTCACTGATGAGCTGCAAGGCAGAGAGCTGAGATGATTTCACATGTATGAACCTCAAACCTGAAGATGGTGACAATAATCCAGTACATCCAAAGCTGCTGAGCAAACAGAATGCACTAGGTAATGCTTTGGTGTGTATGGTGATTACTATGTCACGTCTTGGTAAACTTGTCAGGGCAGGATCAATACGTCACTTGCAAACAAGGTACTGATCCTGATCACACCAGCAGGTACAGCAGTGAAATGTCACACCAACGTCTTCTGTTGGCCATTTCCTAACTGTCTTCACTGTGCTCACCTTGAGGGACCAATGGCAACCTGAGAGTCCTGTCCCAGCCTAGTTATTGCACATTTTGGAGCGGTGGTAGAAATGTGTTGAATAAATGTAATCTGGTTAGAGAGTCACAACAATGTTACCAGCAGGACCTGTTACCATGACAATTTGTGAATTCATTTCACTGTGCTGCTTTCTGGTGTGACCCTGTACTAACTACACTTACTACACAGCTACCAGACACACAGATCGGCACATGGAGGGTTTGACTGATGATCATTGGCTGTAAAGAACTGAACACTAGGATTAATATCAAGTTTTAAGTGCTGCTCGTCCTTGGCAAAGCAATTGAGTGCATTATAAACTGAAATGTACATTTGAAAAAAGTACACTTCTGGTTACAACATGCAGCAGGCATGGCTTTTAGTGGCAGATGCACTAAAAAGAGCGAAGGCAGAGCAAACACTTACGGAATATATCCTATACAGGACAAATACAGCCTGATATGACAGAGGGGTAATCAAGGGGTGAAGTGCTTGAACAAATGGAGGAACAATGAGTGTTCTCTGGTGGTTGACAAGGTTAAGATGTTAATAAAAGATGAAATTGGACAACAGTTAAGACGAGGTGAAACGAGGGCAGGACCGGGGCAGAACCACCCAAATACCTTTCTGCTGTGACAGTCTTCACCATCAAGATAACCATCGTCGACGCCCAAGCTGCGCAGCCAGGCGGTGCTGTCAAAGGGCAGGGGGGGGATGGAGGGGGGGAAGGTGGGGGAGGGTTCCAAAGGGTAATAGGACTTAGGGAGGGGAGGCCTTGGGGGAACACTTTCCTAGATCACCATAATGGCAGGTGGGAGGGAGGAAGGGAGGAGAGAAAGGATAGGTGGAATAGAGAGTGCTGCACATCAGGAGTGACAATCAGCCAGGCAGAGCAGAGAGAGGGTCCCGTGTGAGGCCCACCTTCTCATTAGTTCCCTACAGTACACTGAAGAGGGCCACTTTAGTCATGTATATTTGAACAGCATTGGATGAATTGATAAATGAAAATGCATTACAATTGTAAAGCTATTTAAGAGAGAAGGTATACTGCAGTCAGAAAGATCATTTCACTTGAAGCAGTTCAAGTGCCTCCTTAAGTAAACCAAACCAGTCATGCACAGTCATGCGAACAGATCAGCAGGAAACCTCACTCCATACCATGAAAGGTTTTACAAAGGATTGAGAATCTATGAGAGAACATGCCAGCACAAGTGAACCCTTACAGTTCCACACCCTGGCCAAATATTATCACTTCAAGACCCCCGCAGAGCAGTTCATGAAAGTGCTCTAAAACTGCCAAGTTAGATAACGTTGTGTCTGCAAAGGAAGCTACAGCCCCAATGGCTTACTTCAGTGTGATGCCAGGATGACGTTATGCAAAAGCAACATTAAAAAAAGAGTCAATCTCTTTACAGTATTACAAATCCAAACAGTTGTAATTGGATGTGGAATTGTAAGAATTAACTATTATGTGGTGGATTTATTTTTAAAGGTGGGTCTGCATGAACACTTTACTTGAGTGACTACTTGGGGATTCAGACTGTGTTAGAGTGCAGGCCACTGGATCAATGTGAAGTCCGCTCTGATTGTTGGGGTAAGTGAGGGGCCTGGCAGCTTGACATGATGACTGAGAAACTAGCTGACGATGGACTGGGGTGTCATGGCCAGCACTTTTTAAACAAGCTACTGAAGATGTTATAAGATCTGGGTTGTAGCATAATGATAAAACATCAGTCCGATAAGAGTCCTGGAGAAGCAGGATCTGGGATTCAGGAATAGAAAAACATTTGTTGGAGTGCAGGTCTCCAGAGCCACCAGCTGAGCCATGATCCCAGCTGGACTCTGGATAGACATCCTTTCTGAGGCCAATCTTGACTTCTTGGCTGCAAACATTTGAGGTTAACCAACCTACTTTCTGTAGGGGCGATACGGTTTGGACTCTGTCTGAATGCTGATTGTCCAGCCATTTTTCTAGGATATTCTCTCCTGCCCTGGCTTTGGCTGCGTTTAAAGGTTGGTCAAAGCTAGAGTTAGTTCTGCAGTGGAAGTGTTGGTCTGTTTCCTCTATCACAGGGTCTAATCTACCCAAAGACTCCTCAAGGTTTTGTAAAACTTCGGAGAGCTGAGGGAAGGTGTGTTCGTGGCTTTCACAACCACAGTAATTCATATTTTCTGCATGCAGGCATGTGTCAGGTTCCCGGTAGCTTGTGGGTCTACATCTAGGCTTAGGGTCAGAATTGAAATGAGGGACTATACATGAATTGGGACGGGGTTTAGTGCTTGATTTTTTACGCACTTCAGGGATTGTTCTAGAGTCCGAGCATGGACCTGTACTAGGTTTTGGATTAGGGTGGGTCTCTGGCTGGGTGTGTCCGGTGCTTACCTCCGGGCCCAGCTGTTTGGTGGGGGAAGCCTGGGAGCCGGGCACTGGGGAGAAGGGGCTGAGTGGGCTGGTGATGCTTACTGAGCTCAGGGGACTGGCTGGACTATTGGTGCTAAAGGAGCCTGAAGCACCGCTGGCCACTGCGAGAGAAAGACAGGGAGGTTGGGTGGTAGAGATAAAGTCGTTAGAATATACACGATAGAGACACTGGTATTTAAACCAAACATGTGAATCTTCCCTCGCAGCACTGTGTTACCTCTGTGCTTGGCTGTGTCAGTGCCTCTGGATGAGTTATTCTTGTGCAGTCCCTCTAACACATCCTGGACTCTCCAAAACTCTTTCTGGATGTGCCGACGAACCAGCTCGCTCTGCAAATACACAGACAAAGTCATATGAGAGAGGGAACGTTAACTACTATGTTTAGAACCCATTGGATGTGAGGACCATGGATCCAAAGGAACAGAAACTTTCTTTTCTGGAAGGAACTTTTGCTGACCTATTCTATTTTTTTGTATTCCTGAGCACCAAAGAACAGATTCCAATCATTTCTATTATGATGCAGGCAAAGTTCTAAGCAAGAGATATCTGATCATCTGGACAGAATATGAACAAGAAGACATATGTTGTAAACAGTCATTCCAAATTCTCAAGGTATCTCTCTGGGAACATGCTTTTCTTTTCTCTTTATGAGAGAGCCTCTACCTGCCCTCCTGCGTTCAGCTGCTCCCAAAGATCTCCATGAATGGCATTGGCCTCATCCTCTAACGCTTCAAACTCCATACGAGTGGTGGTTAAAGCCTGAGTGAGATACAAATAAAAGCAGTCACTCAGCAAATGCAGTATTTATGAAAAACAAAGACCAAACAAAATATGTTACAATTTAAAGTTCAAGGCTCTTTACAACTGGGCTCTTGTTCTGTGTTTGGAGGCGGTGTTCTGCAGTGACTTACACTGGAGGCCTGAGAGAGTTCCCCTCTGATGTTGATCAGTTGGTTCTGCAAAGTGTCCTTTCTGTAGTGCAGCTTTTCAATGGCCAAAGGCTGGTTATGATACAGCTCCATCTCTTGACGTGTCCCAACCAGCGCCTCCTCTAGGCTGTCCTGGGAACAGCAAGCAGGGGAGGCAAGAGAGCAAGCGTTTATTGGAAAGGAGCTTCCTTCTCCTTTTTCCTCAAATCAAACAACAGGTGAAGAACTCTCAGTGATAATGTATATTCCAGTTTAATAAAAGGGTTGTGGATTTTATTGGAAGAGTACAAATTCAGTTAGCTTTCCAAGACATTTCTTAAACACATGGTATATTTTTGTGAAAATGAAGTACCTTGTCCATTCTCAGCCTGTGAACAACAGCCTCGTGGTCTTTCAGAATTCGGTTCTGCTCACACAGCCTACCCAAGAGTTTCTATTTTAGACAGGAAAACAGGTAATTATCACATTTTTATAGAAATAGATAACATGTATATTTTACATGCATAGGGCAAAAAGTATATGGACGTTAGGACATTTAACCCATATGAAATGACCGAGGAGTATTCAGGTTGTTTCGAACCAAAAGAGCAATTAAAAAATAATCTGTTACAAGTGTTGCATTAATGATCGTTAATAACCAAACTGAGGAAAGATTTTCTTTGCGGAAATGGCTTTCTTCCGTCAGGTGGGCAGATCTGAGCAGGGTGTGAGTGTATAAATATGTTTATTGTGTGCATCAAGTGTCTCTTACGCTGGTTTCAATCTCGTTGAGCTTCAGTGTAGGATATAACTCTCTGCTGTAGACATCATGGAAAGGCGGCACCTGTTCAAACAAACATTGATAACATTTTCTAAATCAACATTGATCCAACAGTGGCGACACCAACTAGCCTAAAGAGAGGAAAGCAACATTCAATGTTTACTTATGTTCTTTATTCTGAAGAATATAAAGCTTCATTTATTCAGAAAATCAGCGAGAAAATATAGCTTTGTTTGGTAGAGAAATAATCATCAGTCCTATAACAAAGCTATTATTAATTATTGTCATGGCTGATTGTTCATGTTAGCATATGGCAGATGATTACGTTTTTACAAAATACAGCATTCCAAATCTGCAATCAGTAAATGGAGGGAGAAGAACTTCACTCTCACACCTGATAGAGACAATGTGTTGGCATACTGATAATGCATCCCTGCACATCGCCTCATTTATAGATGTCCAAGCTCTTTGGTTAATGTCTCAGAATGAAGAAATACATTGAAATATTTCATGCTACAATTTGTGAGTTATATACATAACTGATAAAAAATAAAAGTAAAACCCAGTACATCTCTGCTACGACCTGAACACTGCTGCTGCATCAACAATGTGTCCACACAAGAACTGTGACCCAATGGGAATGTGAACATAATGTTGAACACAGTAATGCCTGAGGTGCTGTTTACACGAGAATGCAAACGGTTGTATCCGCTACTTTTCTCTTTCGTATAGCCTGTTCGTTCACACGAGGCCGTAACGGAAACGCGGAAACGGACCCCGCAAACGATAACGGGTCCCAAGGTGGATAGATCTGCAAAGTGCAAACGGAACGCTCTGGGGGGCCAAACGGCTCTGTGTGTACGCCCTATACGATCATTTCCTGATAGCAATGAAGCCATAGCCCCACCTCTGCTGCTCATGTGTAGCATGGTCAGTAGCTACTGTCAGTAGCTACTGCTAGTGCTACTGACCATGCTACAGATGTTAGTGCAAAATCTACAGCTCCTCTTCCACAACCATCAGCAACAAGTGGACATGGAGAACTACATTAACTACATGTTGCTAAATCTACCGCGGGGCATAAACAGAAGGGCAACCATGGCAACCATGCTCGGGGGTCTTCTTCGCTGCTTTTGGTGTATTTTGTGGCAGAAGTACAGCGCCACCTACAGGCCCGGCATATGTACTACAGCGTGTCCAGCGCTTTTGAGCGGTCTCGTGTGAATGGAAGACTTTTTTGATATCGTATTCGGTTTGTTTGCGTTTCGTATGCGTTTGCGTGTAAATGGGGTCTGACACCAATCATTACACAGCACCATGTACAGTGGGAAAAATGATTGTACACACTTTATGGACCTCACAAATGAGCTTAATTGGTAGATGTTAACAAGGCTGTACAGAAAAGGGATGCACAAATGACGATGGGATGTGGCCAGGACAGGCTCCCTTGGGGAAACTCCTTTTGTGACGCAGCTTTTTCGATTGTAGGCAGACTCTTAACTAAAATACAAAGTAGCTTATAAGTTTACCAACCACCAATATTGCAGCTTTTTTCTATTGATAATAAAACTTTGTAAATGTAAAATAACCTGCTCTGTAATTGATCTTAACTATTTATATTTTATTAATGTCTAAATTATGTCATGGCAGATATGTGGCTCACAACCTAAGGAAGGACCCAGTGTGAGTGTGAAGTTCTAAAAAACAGCAGAACTGGAATGGCCCATTCTGAAATGCAAACGTCTTTATCTTCCCTTGTCTGCGAGGATCTTTAGGTGTCACATGGGTGTCTGTTCAGACTTCCACATTCCAGACAAAATATGACTACACAGTCCAAGCATTTTCAGGGTCTCTTGACGCCTCTTAAGGGCCCAGAAATACTCCAAAATAGACAAGGGACACATAAGGGAACAGCAGGACATACTGCCAACAGTTCTGTTAATACAACACTACGTTATTGGACACCTGTATTCTGCGCATCTTTTCTGCATATTTACGGTTCACACAGTCATAAGATTATGGCTGAACATCGTCAAATATATGCAAATGGTTCCTAGCAGACATGAGTAGATGAGACAATTAATGTCACACAGATCATCCAAGCAAAAGCACATAGTATGATATGAGCTTACAAATGAGTAATGCAGACTATGAAACTGTTTGACTGTGAGTGATATTATAGACCACATGCAGACGACACAAGGACTGAAAAAAGAGAGGCAGGCTTGGGTATTGAATATCTATCTATATACACTGTATATACTGTATATATATAAGACTTATTGTCAACAAGAGGTCTCTGCAGGCCTCGGTAAATTGGGACTAAATTGGACTAGACTGGACTAACAAACAGTGGATTAGAAGTTCCATAATTATTCTTAGAGTCAAAAATACAATCCAGAAGACAGTCAAGCAGGAAAACGGAGTTAATAATTGAGTTGTGATAAAGGGCTGCTAGCTGAAGCCTGCCTCCCTGTGGGTCTCTCCTGTCTTACTTGTACACAGAGCTTTGCTGCTGAGGACGAGCGCTTCACCATTCGAGTAACCGTGCCAATTAGATGGCTTCCCTGGAGCACCTGAAGATTTAGCTCAGATTACAGAGACCTGACAACAAGTGGACAGGATGACTGAGATATACTTTGTTAAGGTAAGCTGAAAACATTTATTTAAAACGACTTTAAGGGCAAGCATCCTTTAGAAGGAAAGACAACATCAGCTAGACACAAGACTATTATAAGGAATAAACAAGGGAAGGAACACCAGGCGCTGGGCCACACTGACTGGGAATAGCAGCATGTCAATGATAATCAGCTCTGTGTGTTTGTCCTCTTACCTGCTGGTCTAAGTAATCCAGGTTACGCTGGAGCTGAAGGTCTAACATGTCCTCCTGAACCAAGCAGCAGTAACAGCAACACACATGAAAATCACACAGACTGTACAGACAGAAGTATTTCAGCGGAGACAGCAGCAAGCAAATCCCCCAACCAGCCTCCCAAGCACACAGGGTCTCGAGCTCCTGGCCCTACGGCTGGGTCATTCAGAGCTCCAGAACCTTCTCTGGGTATGCTGAGGCAGCAGAGTCCAAATGCAGAGAATCTTCAAAACAACAGGCTCTCGTTTTAGTTTTTCACAGCGTCAGATTGGATTTACAAAGGTTTTCCTCAGCAGGTGGAGTTTGATGAATTGTTTTTATTTGATTAGGTAAGTACAACGTTTCTGTTGTGAACGTCCACCCTGATCATTCTTCAGCCATCCACTAGTCCATGACCTTTGACCTCTACCAGCAAAGGAGGATAGTTTATAGTTATTGTACCACACAGGGTTGTGCAACTGAAGGCAGTTATAGTCCCTTGATGACTCTTTATTTAGGAGATCAAAATGATCATAAACCATGTTGAGCTCATCTGGCAACATTGACTTACACAACCTTGGGGCGCTGATATCCTGGATTGCCTGCAACCTATCTTTGTGTTGAGTTTCCTCCAGCTTCACCTCCTTTATGCAAGCTCTCAGTCTCGTTCTGGCAGTGATGTATGCTTCCATGTCATTTTTCCGAAATGCAGCCTTTTCTTGATCTTCCCTTCTCATTTCATCCAGGTTTTTAGGTTGGGGGATGAGTCCATGGTCCACTGATAAGATGCTGATATCTGTGTTACACTAATTCTTTTTGTGTGAGTTCTCCTCCCAGGCAGGCATAATGTGTTGGATGAAGTGGGAGAATTAGGTCAAGTAATAACAACCACGCAAACTCCATCCACTGAGGAAAAGGACTTGGGGTAAGATTATTTTGGTCAAACTGCCATTTGAGAGTGAATAAACAGTAGGTAGAGGTCAAGCTCAAACACTGCTGCTTACTTATCAAAATAACTTATGTATAGCTTTACAAAATGTGCCTCATAATACTTTCCATCGATCACGAGTGTAGGTAGGGGAGCCCATGGAGGTTACTTGTCTCTTTCATTTAGTCATGTTGTTAATATGTAAACTCTCACAAACACATTGATTCGTCCATTGGCGCATAACAGCATCCCCAGGCCCATATTAGAGACAGGACAGCAGCAGAGGAGAAGAAGAAACACAGGTCGGGGGAGGGACAGACAGACAGATGTAAAGCAACATACACGTGTGTCTACAGGTTTAGAGTGTGTTAGATTAGATTAGAGTCAACTTTATTGTCATTGCACAGAGTACAGGTACTAAGACAACGGAATGTAGTTAGCGTCTAACCAGAAGTGCAAACATGCATTAGAATACACTAGAGTCCACATCCCTAAGCCAAACCCTAACACAGCTGAACATCTGACAGGTTCGATACAGATATAGAGAGCCAGCTAATATAACCTACTAGTCCTTAGAGACTGCTGATCATGCTCACCCTGGCCTGACACCAATACCCCCCCCATTCCCCCTATTAAAAGTGTTGTACTGTTGATTCAGCTGCCATAACTACTCTAGACTGTGCCTAGCACCAGAACTGTGTGTGTGAGTTGTACAGCATATTAGCAGAACCTACCATTTTATTGTGGATGGAAGGGGATACAGGGTAGTTGTAGTGGTATAATCCTTGGCTTAAGGACCTCCTTTCACCAGGGTAGTCATACTGAAGGAGGGAGGGAAGGTAATAAGGAAAGAAGGAAGGGATGAATGGAACGAAGAACGAATGAAAGTTGTTAGAGTGGAGGAAGATGAAAACTAAACATTCATCTGTTATTCTCTCTTTCAGCCTCAGTGACAATCTTTTTATTCGGCCTTATGTCTTTCCCTCAATGAACGTTTTAATTTATTAGCTTTCCTAAACTCAAAACCTTAATTTATTGTACTAGGAAAACGTAATAAAAGCTTGTTACCATGAAATTAAGATATTGAATCCCCTACGCATGAGTCGTGGATTTAACTAAAACCAATATAAGTGAGTTGTGGCCTGTGAAAAGAAATTGTCAAGTTGTGAGGTGGCAGTTACTTCTACATCCACTGTATTTACCTTTGGGGAGCTCAGAGACCTCCGCAGGCTGTAGACCGAGGGGTCAGCGTAGATCACGTCGTCCCTCAGCCGGGCCGGGAGCCGGTCGAAGCGAGCAGAGGGCGAGCGGCCAGGCGAGGCGAAGCTGTGCGGCACCGGGGAGTAGGGCCCCCCACAGGACGAGGACGGGGACCTGGGGACAGACCTGGAGCGGGGCTGTACAGACAGACGTCTCATGGATTTTTCCATTCCACCAAAGTAGGCCGGCCCCCATTGGTCCCGCTGCAGTGGGGCTCCATACAGCTGATGGGGTACATCCCTCAGTGAGTGCCGCTTCTCCTCCACGGTCCAGCGCGGGTCGTATCCCCCCATAGCAGAAACAGAGCAGATACTGTCTGGTCGGACCCCTGGCGGGTAAAGAGGGCGTTCCTCCATATACTGGGGGCCACCAGGGTAGCCATAGTAGTCCGCCAAAAGCCCCTGGTTTACTGCGTAGTAATGAGATGGGCTGGAAGGAAGGACAGGAAGGTTTAAGAAATGTTTAGCCTCCGAATTCTGTTAAGGCAAGGCTTGAATAAAGAATGAGACTACATGTGTTCTGTATCCTGAGTTTCATTTCACATCACCCTAACTCTACCATAACTTGTATTAACCGTTCCAGTCCAACAGCTCCAGCTGGATTGATAGTCCCCTTGTGTATTAAAGTTGCAGGTTATAAACTGTGCCTGCGATTGAACCTGCAGTCACTTTGTGTGGAAATGTTGTGCCACTATAACATCTTCAATAAGTCCAAAGCATGTTTTTTCCTGTCTTGAGAAAATATAAAGATTCTAAAAATTTTAAAAATGTGATTACCAGAGACTAACACCAGAGGTGTTCTAACGAATAAGGGCTTTGAAAGTCTGTCAAGCCTGAAGGTAGGTGCAAGGCCAGAGGTGTAAAGTAAGTACATTTACTCAAGTACTGTACCTAAGTACAATATTGTGGCACTTTACTTGAGACAAATATGTAGACATTATATGATTGTGAAATGAGCCAATCTATTCGCATAAATATATCTGCATAATGAGTACTTTTGGTACTTTAAGTATATTTAGATGCCAATACTTTTGTAATTTACTTGAGTAACATTTTCAATGCAGGACTTTTAATAGTAACAGAGTATTCCTACACTCTGGTACTTCTTCCACCTCTGTGCAGGGCTTTGATAATAATATTTCTAGATCGTACTGTATAAAAATAAAAATTAACAATCACATGCAGAAGGTGGTAGAATGTTGATATGATCACATCATTGTATATGGCGCACAGTACAGTATATCCTAATGACCGCTAAAGCATGATCTGAAGCTAGGAGCAAGAACAACGCTGAGATAGAGTGTAGAGAGGGTGAGGGTGAGAGGGGGGGGGGGGGGGGGGGGGGGGGTCTGGTCTACCTGTTAAGGTCCTCCTCGGAGGCCATGCCTCTTCGCTGGTTGACCCAGTGCTGCAGCTGGGCCATGGAGCTCTTCCTCTGAGCCACCCTCTCTGGAGCCGTCCTGGGCACGAAGCCCCTCCTCAGCACAACGTTCTCCTGCTGCTCCCTGCTGTCCTGCGGGGGGCATCCCCCCCCCTCCGGGTGGCCCTGGGGTGCATGATGTCCACTGGGACTCCTGGATAGAGGGGGTTTGCTGTTCCGAGGGCCGTTGTTGCCCCATCCATTTGGATGCGGTCTTGGATGAGAGGCGGGGTCCGGACCTGTTCTCCCCCCTCCATCCTCACCTTCTCCTTGTCTTCCGTTATTATTCTTTCCCTCCTGATCGGAGCAGGGGGTGGAGGGTGGGGGTGTCTGAAGACTGTTGACCCCGTTGGCCTTAGGGTGTGGTGGGGGGTCACTGACAGTATCATTGTGTGTTAGTGTGTTTGGTGCCTTGGTCACCATAGTGTGGTTTGGATCCACTGTGGGGTTTATTCTGTGAATGTGAAGAAAAGAGAAATAGAGAATAGATTGACTGTTTTTGTTTGTTTCAAAACGGTCAGAGTGGCCATTTGAAATCAGAAAATGTAACAGCAGGTCAAGTATCTGATCAGTAACAATTTCTGTATTATATTATTATGAAATCTGAAATATGTAGACCATATTCAAGGAATAAGTATGATGTATGGAAGAATTGAAGCTGTAAATACCAACAAGTGTCTTATTGCCATATATTGCAGTTGATTCTAGTCTCTCTGACAGCACCACCAGAGGGCAGCAACAACCTCAGAGTAAGTCATACTGCTTCATTCCTTTAAGATAGAAATAGCACATACTACCAGTGACGTGCAGTCAGGGGAGGCAGGGGAGGCAGAGCCTCACCTGTCATACTCCAATGTAACGGAAAAACAACTAAAGAAAAACTAAATAGTAATAATAATAAAATGTCTCCACTGATCTGTGTTGTAAGTGTGATTTCTGTATGATTCCAATCGCTTTTTATAGTCAAAATCAGCAAATTTGCCGAGCTCCGCTACGGGAGCGATGACAAGTGAGGCAGGGACGTGCTCTGCCTCTCGTAAGCCCACAGTAACTTGCTGGAGCACGGGCACTAATTTAGCGCGGGCACTTATTTTGTGAGCGCGCTCAAGCCAGTTACTGTGGGGTGAGGTGAGGCACAGATGAGATCTGCCTCACTTCAGAATGCGTCACCCCACAGAAACTGGCTGGAAAGCGGGCCCTAAGCGCATGCCTGTTCCCATCTCACTGTAGGTCACCAATGTAATGTTTGTAGATCCCTTTATTACATTTATCCTCGCCATCCATAGTCTCTAAATAACTTATTTCACGTATATATGATATTTAGGCTCACTGGTCTCAACGGCAATGAAAATGCACCAGGGGAGGCAGCCATAACCTCTGCCGCACTGAAGGGGGCGCACGTGAGCCCACAGGTTCTTGTTGCTACTGTAATTCTACGCAGAGACGGTAGACGCAAACAACAAACTAGACTTTTGAAACTACAGGAAGATAAGGAGGACTTTTACAAAAAAGTAAACGAGATTGTTGTCCAGAAGGATAGCATGGACTTCATCTTCAAGTCAAGGTAAGACCACATTTGTAATGAACATGGGATCTTACTAAGAAAGAACAATCCAATATTTAGATTTTGGGTATCCTTTTGTTGAACAGTCTGTTTAAAATGAATCGAAGCATCAGACTAAAAAAGCTTTTGAAAATAACCGAATATTTCGATTAAGGTCAAAATATAATATTTGTCAATTTGACTCAGTGAGTCAGTGCCTCACCAGCCATGAACCTCACCGCACGTCACTGCATACTACCATTAGGGGAGCGCTGGCTCAAAAGTAACACTTTTTAGACAAAAGTCATTTTAAAAGAAAACTTTACAGATATAAACTTTTTTCCTTGTTGTCGTCAACTCACATGTGTTTTGTGTCAATAACAGAAGTTGCACATTGATACTTTTAAACCCGGCAGTGGGACCGATAGTAACACAATGGTATTATTATTATTACTTATGCTATTCTTGTGTTAATAAAATAATTCTAAAAAGGTTGTTGTAAATATGTTAATAAAAGCATATTATGTAGTTTATCTCAGTCTGACTTTGTTCATTGACATATTAATATAAAGTATGATTGTACTGCTCTTCTCACACAAGTGTCTTTGAGAGATGACACAAAAACATCTCACTGGGTCAACCCGACCCCCCTCAGTCGTTATTACCCTCTTTCTTGGACTATTCTATTACAAGTATATGACTTACATAATGTTTTTCATTAAGTGCTGACATGCACAGTGTGACCACATTAACTACGGGGCGAAGCAACACTAAAGAGGAGCAAAGAAACAACAATGGTAGCAGCCCTGATCCCCACAGTTCGACTGACTCGCTTCTATACCCTTTGAAGCAATGCACTTCTTTAAAACCTGTTTCTGGTGTAACTTCTCAACCCTGTGATGTAACCACATAATATGTTGCAGTTCTACTTGGTGTTGCATGCTGAACCTGCAGACAAAGTTCTGTGTGTTACAGTTCTGTGTGCTCGGAGGAAATCACCTTGTTATTATTGTCCCGGTCTTCCTCCTACGATATCCCCTATTGACAGGTCCCATTAAATAGAGAATATAACTGGCCTACGTGTGTGTGCAGTATGTCCCACATGGCGGTGTGTGTGTGTGTGTGTGTGAGAGCAGCACCTCTGTGACGGCTCACTGGGGACCGCTGCAGCCTGGCTCATGGCTCTGATCCACTGCTCCTGGTCCTCATGGCTGTCTGCGCTGAAGTAGTAGGTCCTGGTCCCAGCGTGCCCCGCCTGCATGCAAAACACAACTGGATCCTTTAGCTCCCCTTCCTCACCGTCCTCCCTCTCACACCTCACCTGCGGGGGGAGACAAACAAAGGAAAGGTGAGTTAGTGGGCACAACATCAGGCTCCTCATCATACTCAGCGTCCCCATCAGCACCAACTTCACGACCGCATGCATAGAAGAAGCATTACCGATCAAACACTTTATTTGTGAACATCCTAGTGAGTACAACCTAATCGTTAACTGCATAAGGAATAGTGTGAGCATTACAGCTGCACAATTAATCAAAATTGTATTTAAAATTGCGATATGGACTAGTGCAATATTTAAGTCACCAGAAGCACAATATTTAAAATGTCTTTAAATATGATAAAAGTATCAAACAAAACATAATGATCCTCTTAAAAACACTCAAACAAAAACGAAACATACTACCAATATAAATACATTGCTTCTAAAATCGTTCTGTGTCAGAATACTTAAATCTGTATTTTTTTAAATGTCTTTTTCCTTCTAATTTGTTATTATTTACATTGCTTTTAAAATCGTTCTGTGTGACACGAAAAAAATGGCGAAATCGTGTTGGTGAACACGATTCAATAGATTAATTTCGTGACTATAACACGAAATGCCGTGAGACTGTGTTGCCCCAGCAGAGTGGATTTAAAAGCAGCAGCAAGCGGAGGAATCACTAATAAATGTGAGTATTGGGTTTTAACTTACTTTAAATTAAACGTCACACACGTCAAACCCAAGGGGCATTAAAACGTACATTTTCATTAAATAATACGGATACATACGTGACGTTAGTGACGCTAACTAGCTAGCTGGACGTACTGCACTGTTGTTTACACTTATTTTCAATTCAATTCAGAAGTTTACTAAAGTCATACAGAGATCTTGGCTCTGTTATAGATAAGTTATACTTTATATTACATAAATAGACCAAAGTGAAAACATTTAGACCGGTATAGCCTACAGTACGGTGGGATTTATAAAATGCTACCCTGACATGTAGCTGCTGTTTGCTTTATTTATTTCTCTGACATGTTGCAATGTTTTACTGTTTATTAAACTTTGGGACAACATTACAACCTTTTTATTCAGCTCATGATGCTTTGAGGTAGGGCTAAATAAAAGAGCCTATTTTAAATATTTCCACCAGATTTAAAAGTAAAGTTTCTGGATCCTTTTCAGCTGAGTTAGCTTGTAAGCTAATTTGCTAGCAGGCTGCTGGAGCAGCGCAACCGAACAGCGCGTAACACGTGACGTAAATACGAAGCGCTCCGTAGGCTAGACCGTCTCATTTCGTAGGCCGCTCGGTCCAGCCTACGCGGTCTACGTGGGCTGGGTCCTCTGTGGACCGCGTAGGCTGCGTACTCCGAAGGGTGCAGCCCCTGAATTGAGACACGGCCAATAAGACAATCACAGAGAGTCTCTTTGAAAAGCACATTTGACAAGCAGTTGGGTAAACAACCCAAACAGAACCAGACGGGTAGAATGAATCCTCAGGTAGGATATGCAGGACAGGAGACATTAGCATGCTTTCCTTACAGACAGGACAAGGAATATAAAGAAGGGTGATAAAATACGAACACTGTACCTACTGTACTTTCTACCACAACGGGACACAGCGAGGGCCAGCAGAACTCACAGGGACGGACAGATGTGGGAGGGAGAGGACACAATGAAGACAAGTTAAGGGTTTTGGTGTTAAAGGTCACAGGTCGCTGCAGGCTGTCAGGGTCTGATCCTGTGAGGCTGTTCCGTAGTGGCTGTCTCTAGAAGCATACTAACTGAATGAATTGTGTTCCAGGGCTGGCTCCCTTCTAAATGTGATGTGAGGATTAAGACTTTCTGATAAATTATTAAATAGTTTTGGGTAAACTCTTTATTCACAAATTCATGTATTTAAAGGTCCATATTAACGTATGGAAGAATGAACACAAAATAAATACAAAATGCCTTCAATACACGACGAACAAGGAATACTCTTTTTTCATTAAAGGTCACCTATTATGCAAAATTTTTTCATAGACATGTGTCTCTGTGTAAAGAGACTCTGAAAGTTTCAGGAACAAAGATTCTCTTACTTTTTGTCCTGATCCATTTATATAAAAACCTGTCTGAAAATGAGCTGATCAGATTTTGGCCACTTTATGATGTCATAACGATGTTTTTTCTTGTGTAACCATTAGCCAATCAGCAACCAAGGTAACACCCCCCCCCTCCCCACCTTATCAACTGAATCTCCTCCTAGAGCACCATTGAGTTCTTTTTAACCAAATGTCTCTCAGAGGGGCGTGGGGAGGGGCTCCTTATTTTCATCTAAAGTAACAGACAAAGAATCAGCACTTTGGAAACAGGGCTGAAACAGAGGGGATTATGGGATGCTGCAATGATATGTTTGGTGTTTCAGAAAAACACTTATGAGACATGTTTTTTGAGACCTATAATATATTGATGAAAAACAGTATAATAGGGGACCTTTAAAGGACTTATAGAGCAGACCCTTCCTCTTTGGTAAAGAGATAATTAACTGTGTAAATATTATTTTAGTTTGATGTTGCTGTATCAACACCATTTGACGTTTCTCCCTTCTGAATTGAGCCTTAAAGGTTTGTTTATTAATTGAATGAATAAAATAAAAAATAAAAACATACAAAGTGAATAAGGAGCCTACATACACGTATTACCTTATTGCTCTAACACAACATAAAGAATTCTAATACAAATCACAGATAAACAGGAATAAGAGTAGCTAATGACATGTAATGTAGCCCAATGATACCACAAGAGGGCAGCACAAGCAAAGCAGTGGGAGGGAGATAAACTGATGTAGTGATACAAGATCCCTGGGGGGGGGTTTCATAATGATGGATCATCAGGTGGATCATTTTTATTTCATCTCTTTCTAATACAGTGCTTGCAAATACTTAAACATGATATATAAACCTGTAATTTTAATCAGCTATTTAACAATAAACCTTATTTCTATTAAAACCAAAATGTTTAAAGATTATATATTTTGTGTGTGCCAGTGGTAACGTGAACAATGCTCCAAGTGTGAGACAGATCGGTCCATCTGTCCATGGATGCTGTGGAAAGCAGTAATGAATGAAGGCATGTGTGTGTGTGTGTGTGTGTGTGTGTGTGTGTGTGTGTGTGTGTGTGTGTGTGTGTGTGTGTGTGTGTGTGTGTGTGTGTGTGTGTGTGTGTGTGTGTGGGTGTTTCTGACAAGGAGGAGGAACAACACTGCCACAACATAGCAAGAGGAAATGATATCACTGATAAACAGGAGTCACTTCCTTCCACGGTGGAGCACTCTGAGGCCCCGCCTCCAGCAGTGACACGAGGTGATTCAATTGGTTGAAATGACTGTATAGTACAAGGCAGCAGTAACCTAGCAACAGAGGTGGGGCTATGGGATAGTGTGTGTGTGTGTGTGTGTGTGTGTGTGTGTGTGTGTGTGTGTGTGTGTGTGTGTGTGTGTGTGTGTGTGTGTGTGTGTGTTGTACAGCCTTTTTCCTTTGTTCATTCAGGTAGTCAAATGGAGAAGGACGGATGAAGGAGAGATCTCTTACACTTCTATTTTTTCAAATTACACAAATAAAATGAATACGATGATTACTTTTATTTTATTATCTTTTGGAAAAAACGAAGGAAAGATAGAAAAAAGCACAAGCAATGAAGTATAAGAAAAAAAATAAGAAAGGAAATAACATGAGAAAAAAAAACAAAAAAAAGAGCGATAAAGTGAGGGAAGGAAACCAGAAGGCACAAACTAAGGATGGAAAGAAATAATAGCAGAAAACAGATGGAAGTAACTAACACCAATAGTAAAGAGTCGATCAATAAATACATTGACAAAAGGAAGAGTGAAAAATAGGGTTAAACAAGGGTGGAAGAAGAGAGGACAGAGGAAGCAGAACCCAAACCAAAAAACAAGAATAGCAACCATGATCAGAAAAAAATAAAAAGAAGAGGAAAGACATAAAGAAAATATAGGAAGTAAAAAGTTAAAAGCAGATATTTATGATATATTTGTAAAGATTTGTAAAATGAAACAATAAAGTCAACCAAATGTATTTCCGTCATATTCAATCAAACTCTGTTAAATCAAAGCCCAACAACTCCCATGATCCCACACACACATGACATCACCAAACTCTATCTGTTGTTATTGATTTGATAGATTGCAGATGGCAGAAAATTACATATCATGTATTATTAACATGCACTAAAACTCTCAAATAAAGGCTGCCCAGTAAACGGCTTCATAACAGGATTAACAGGATTGTGCGTTGATTTGTTTACTGCAAGAGAGCGTCTCCTGTCAATGGAGGATCTTTGCTTTACATTGCTACGGTACTTCTCCGAATGTACATAACCTGCAGCCTACTATATAGTTCACTATATTGACTTTCAGTGTTTCCCCTATATACAAATAGTGGCGGCGCAGCGCCGCTGCTGAAATATGTGCGCCGCTGCTAGGGGGCGCCAGCCAGGTACCCAGCGGTAATTAGAATTTCAAAGTCTCAAAAATGCTACAACTACTGTCACAAACTGGATGAATGTGAAGTATTTTGTTAAAGGAGGATGAAAGCGTAATTAAGGAGGACTATTGGAGTGACTTTGATGGCTATTGGACTCAGGATTAATTCATTTGGATTCCCGCTGTATGAAGAAATTAAAGGACGGCGCAAGTGGAAACAATTCACAAAGGGATTAAACTGTTTCAAACACATGCTCAAAGTAAGCCGGATTTTGCCGATGTGTTTATGTGGATTCAAAAGTCGTAAATAATCTACAAAATGGAGGAGACCGATCTGATCGGAGCAACTGTGACAAATAATCCACTCGAAACCGGCATGGACAATGACTATGTTTAAAAATGCGCTTATCCAGACAAGCCTGGTTTGGACACTTTACGGGCAGAAGAAACATTTCTATTAACACTAGAACCACCAACGGGTACATTTTACCCGCAGCTGTTTTTTGATTGTATGTAACTTTTTTTCAATAAAATATTAAAGTCTCCCAATCCGTGACCTTTCCTGAAAGTGTGTTAT